GAGAACAGGACGCCGTCGGCGTTTTGGGCCAGGTCTCTCCCCCGCCGCCTCGTCCTTTCTGGGTGTTCGCTGTGCTTTGGGTCCCGCCTTCCTCCTGCCTTCCTCTGGGCGTGTGCCTCCCACTTTGTGAGAGCCCCGGGTCTGCCGGCTTCCTGGAATCTCCTGGAGCCTCCTGGCTTGTCAGGGAGGAGGGGTTGGGGGACTATTGGGGGCTGTGCCTTTTTTGGACTCAGCAGGGATTATTTTTAGGCTGGCAGATGGAGGTGGCGGTGGCTGTCGCTGGTATTATTAGACAACAGGCCTGTGGTTTGGAAGTCTGGTGCCCAGAGGAGGAGGAGGAGGAGGAGGAGGAGGAGGCTGCAATAAGGACTTGTACTAATGAGCAACGGAGGCTGGTGCTGGCTCCATTCCCCACTTCCCCAGCCACCAGCCAGACCTAGTGAGGGGTCTCAGAGTCTCAGGCAGAAGGCCGGGCTCCTCAGAGCGGGTCAGAGCCCACCCGGCTGCCTTCTGAGACAGGCCCACCCTATGGTCCTAGGCTTCAGGGTCTGGACTGGCAAAACCTGTCCCAAGTGTGGTATGGGAGTTGCCGACCTCTGGCTCAGGCCCTAAGAAAGGGAAAAGTGAGGGACTGGGTGAAAGGCCTTGGTCCCGGGGCCTGGGTCGGGCCAGGATGACCTTTGCGCCACCTGCTTTCTGAGAAGGACAGGGACCCCATCCGTGCATCAGGAACAGCTGGAACCGAGTAACTTTGGGTGAGCAGCGCAACTCCCCGTTTGCTCATTTTTCAGTGGGAGACAGCAGTGCTTGTGTCAGGAGGCCATTGTGGGCAGGGATTGAGATGCCCTGCGTTCCCAGCACAGAGCCTGCTGTGCAGCAGGCACTCACAGCATGACAGGCTTGCATGCCAGCTGATGCTCGCCCGGCCCTGCTCCTCACACCTTGCCCTGCACTCCTTCCTCTGTGTTTAGAGCAGTCCTGCTCTCAGGTACCCTCCTCCCCCCAGCCCTCCCCCGGCGGAGCAGCCCCAGGTTGTGAGTGCTGGGCATGGGCTGTGCCAGGCCCTGGATGCCTCATGGTTCTGCACAGGGGGTCCAACGGCAGCCCTGGACTCAGCCAGCCACTGGGTACCACCTGGCCCAGAGAGCGGGAGATTTGTATCCTGTGGGCTTCAAAAAGGTCAGCCAGACCTCCAGGGGCTACCTCATCTTTCCTTGCCCTCCTACTTTCTCTTCCCCGCCATAACTACTCCAAAGGGAGCTGGGCACACCCCCAAGATACAGATTTACTAGGTTCTGGGCACTGCTATTTCTGGCCTTCTCTGAAAAGAGTGAGACCTATGGCACCACATGGGTGCCTTTCACCGTACCCCCCCCTGACAATGCCAGTTTTCCCCCTTTGAGGGAGGAGCCTGGTCCCTCTGGGCTGCTGTGATGGGAGAGGGGTTCAGCACGCTCCACTCTCCCCTTCCTCTCTTCGTCCTGTTCCTCCCCTTTCTCCCCTCTCTCTTCAGGAGCCAGCCCCTCCCCCTTCCACTCTCCGATCTGCCCCCACCCAGGCTCTGGGGTGTTCTGACAGTCTGTGTCTGTATCCAGCTGGCCTGAACTCACCCTCCCAGGGATGGGCTCTGCACCTGGCCCTTCCTCCCCTCTCCTCTTTGCTCTCTTCTTTGCACCTCTTTCGCTCCTGGATATGGGTTTGGTTTCCCCCTATATTTGGGTTTCTCTATCTCTCCTCCATCTTCCCTCTTTACTGCCAGCCTGATTACTTTTTTTCACATTGAGCTTTTCTGGAGAGAGTGTGTTATTAGACATACTTTGGCTCAGAAACGATCAGGCTTAGGGAGAAGTGCTTGTGGGTGATGGAGTGAGAGAACATGCCGTGCGTGTGTGTGTGCGCGCGCATGTGTGTGTGAAGGAGATGACAGAAAACCGATAAATATTTTAGGATCCAGAAAAGCAAGAGGGCTTGGACTGAGGGTGGAGGCCAGGACATGGGCGCCCACACCACTGCTTTATTCTGGGGAAGCTCCCTCTCATTTTGTCTTGCTTCTCCTCTTTGGGATGTGTCCTCTCTGCAGCTGCCTCTGCCTGGTTGAAAGGGTCTTTGGGAAGAGATGCTGGGAGGGGACTGCCTGCCTGCTGGGGTGCTTTGAGTTGGTTGCTCGTCTGCTTCGCCCAGGACTGGCTGGGGCTGGGGGTGGGAGCCCCAGCGCTGGGAAGTTTGAAAGCCTGCCTCATGCTTGCAGTGAGAATGATGCAGGGCTAGGCGCAAATGAGCAGCGCTCAAGCGGGAACCCCAAGCAAAGCCAACCCACCTCCTGGCGTGTCCCTAGATCCCTCCACCTGGAAGCCAGCGTCACGCAGAAGAAAAAAAAAACAAAAAAAAACTTCACTGTTGCGAGAGTGCCCGCCTGTCCCCCTAGGCCTCTGTTCCCTCCCTGCCTGGGCCCTAGGGCCAAAGCTCTGCGGAGGAAACACTTCTGTGTTGCCCACTCTGCCCTCCTCTAGGTAACATGGCACCTGAAGTAATCTCCTCCCATCTTCCCTCTAGGCTCCGTGTCGTGTTTCTTATCCTCCTCACAGGTCTGTGCTGTAGAAAACACACACACACACACACCACACAACACACACACACGCTTCTCTGCAAGCTCACGGCTGCTCATATCTCACCAGCAATCCTCTTGGTCCAGCATCTGCCTTTGAGTGCCTGGCTGCTGCGGAGGCAGGCTCTCCTGTAGGGCCCTGGGCTGGCGGTGAGGTGGCGAGGCTGCAGGCGGCACTCGTCGCCCTGACTGTCCGCTGAGGGGCTGGGATGCCAAACGTAGCCTGAAGCAGAGGGTTGGGGGTGGGGAATTGGGAACTGCTGGGGCCTCAGGCAGGTGGAGTGCAGTGGCTCTGCTCTGCTCCAAAATACTCGTGATCTTAGTCTTTCTCTGAAAACGGGTGATGTCACCAGGAGCCAATCAGCTTCTGGAAGGTGCGCCTACTCCTCTCCGAACTTGCCAGGGAGGGGGAGAGAACAAGACACACAGAGATGACATACAGACAGACACGGAGAGGCAGACAGGGAAGCACAACATGCAGAGACAGAGCCCTTGCGCATACAGAGGAAGCAGGCAGAACCCTCCCCTTGCAGAGCCAACCAGAACACACAACACACACACACACAACACACCACACAGGCCGTGGTAGACAGAAACAGGGAGAGAGATAGGCAGGTAGACACAGTCACCCACATAGAGCAAGAGCTAGAGAGAGACAGAGAGAGACACAGAAAGACATGGAGAAGGAGCAGGAACCAGAGAGAGGTGGACAGATAGACACACACGCAGAGATGGAGCCAGCAAGACAAACAGACAGGCAGACAGACAGAAGGAGCCAGAGAGAGACAGACACACAGAGGAGCCAGCAAGGCAGACAGAGATCCAGAGAAGGAGCCAGAGAGAGACAGAGGAGCCAGTAAGACAGACAAACAGAGATCCAGAGATGTGTGTGTGTGTGTGTGTGTGTGAGAGAGAGAGAGAGAGAGAGAGAGAGAGAGAGAGAACAAACACACACAGAGGAACCCGGCATGTGTGTGCGTGTGCACAGACACACAGAGGTGGCCAGACACAGACATGAAGGGATAAGAGACAGCAAGGTGCACACAGGGGTCTGAGATGCAGAGAGAGTCAGACCCAGGCACCAGAATGGGGAATGGCAGGGACTGGTGCTGCCCTCCTCTGGGCATCCTCCCCTGCAGGAGTCCCAGCTGGCTCTCTGTCTGTAAGCTGCCGCTTCAGTACTGCAGCTGCTGTCCTAGGTGCTGCCCTGGAGAGTCGGGTGCCCGGCCTGGGACCAGAAGGGTCTGGGGCTGGGGAAAGCTGTGGTCAGTTGGGAGTAGGGGGTAGTACCAGGGAATGAAGGGGATGAGGCTTCCCCTCAGCCATCCTTTTCCCTGGGACGTTGCTGGACAAGGTGACCTTGTGGCCTCCCTGGCCCTGCCTGGCAGTGGAGCCTGGCGTGGGAGGAGGGCTGCATGCCTTGTTTGGGCCCGGGAATGGTGCTGCGGCGCTTGGGGTGCGTGGCTCTTCCTCTCTGCAGCGTCCTCTAGCTTGCGGTGGGGTGGAGGCCGGGGTGGTCCTCCCTCCTGCTGCCTTGCTCGCCCCCTCTGCTGCCAGCCAGGGTGGGTGTGCCCTATCCCACCGTCTGATTTCGTTTTCCTCTGCCCAAGATGAGGATGGCCCTGGGATCTCCCTCCTCCATCCCCAGCATGCTGCTCTCCTAATGGTGATGTCTGGGGCTTGGGCCCCTCCCACTCCCCCTCTGCAGCAGGGCTGGCACACGCTGCTGGGCAGGGCTGGCACACGCTGCTGGGAGGAGGGGCCGGAGAGGCCGGCTCAGCCTGCGGGGCTTTCCTTCTGGTGTTGCCACGAGCAGCCTCGGCTGAGCGTGTTTGGGATTTCCCTGCTCCTGCATGGAGTACCCTTGTGTTGTGCTGTGCACATCAGGCTGAGCTGGGGGTGGGGTGGAGGAGGAAGGCTGGCTCTGTCGTTTCCCACCAGGCTGTAGTGGCAAGCGTCCTGGTGCAGAAAGAATGTTCCATGTGCACAGGCGGCCACAACTGGGCAGCGCTGTGGGCCTCCAGAGGGGGCCAGGCCCCTCACCTCCATGTCCTGGACTCCTTGTAATTCGTGCGGCGGGATGACGCCTACGGCTCTTTGAGACTGGGGAGGGAAGAGCTGGCGTGTAGGACTGAAGAGAATGGCTTCCCTCTCCTTTCCTCTCCCTTCCTTTCCCCCAAGTTGTGGATGTTTGGGGGCCCCAGGACAGAGGGAGGTATGAGCAGCGAGGGGGAGAGGGATGGAAGGTGCGCGTGAGACCCTCCTGGGAGGGCACGGTAGCCCATGGAGGGCAGCTGGTGGGAGGCGGGGCTACCCTGTGACACGGGCATGGGGCTGCTGGGGCAGGATCTCTTTGTCACCTGCTTTCTGTGTCCAACCTGGCTGTCCCCATCAGGCGCCCACGGCCTGCGAGAGGAGCCCGAGTTTGTGACGGCAAGAGCTGGGGAGAGCGTGGTCCTACGATGCGACGTGATCCACCCAGTGACGGGACAGCCCCCACCCTATGTCGTAGAGTGGTTCAAGTTCGGGGTCCCCATCCCTATCTTCATCAAGTTTGGCTACTACCCCCCGCACGTGGACCCTGAGTATGCAGGTAAGGTCTGGGCACCCTGTTTCCCGCACCTTCTCCATCTGGAGTCAGCTCCTCCATGGTTCCCCTCTGGCCCCTACCTTTTCCTGACCACCCTTTATCTCTGTTTCCCCGTCTCTGCCTGGTTCCTCCCATCCTTTGTCCTCTGGTAGGTTCTAATTAAGCGGTGGGAGGGGAGGGAAGTGGAGGTGATGCAGGGTAAAGCCCTTCTAAACAGCCTAAAAACCCGCCTGGGGTGTGGAGAGGGCTGGGAGCCATAGGGGAAGCTGGAGAGGCCTGGGTGGGAGAGGGGATGGAGTGGACAGGAAGCTGAGTCAGGCAGCCCTGGGCCAGCGTGGCTTCCCTGCTTGGCTGCACCCACCCCTTCCCTCTTGGCTCTGAAGTCGGGGCTCCTTCCCATCCTGAATGTATGGATGAATCTTCGGCCCCCCACTATTTGCGGGTGCCTGGTCTCTGCTTCCTCTGTCATGCTGTCCTCTCCTTCTCCTGGCCCCGTCTGTGTCCTGCTTGGCAGTTACTCCTGCCACCAAAGGCCTCATGACTCACTGCCACTGCCTGCCCCCCAGCCTGCGGGAGAGGAGGGCGTGGGTGTGTGTGTGCGTGTGTGTGCGTGTCATTGAGCGAGCGTGTGTTGGGGTTGAAAGGAAGGGAGGAAGCAGGCAGGGCACTGCCTTCACTTTCATCTTTGCTGGTGGCTTCTGAGGTCTGCCCTGCCTTTCTCAGAATGCTTCCGTCCCTGTCTCTTTCGCTCCTGTGCCTATGTCTCATGCTCTCTTTTTGGCCAGGGATGGCTTTGAGAGTCTAGTTTTTAGGCAGATTGCCAGCGTCAGGACGAGGAGGAGAGCAGAGGTGCTGTGATATTGGCTGGGGTGAGGGGTGAGCTAAGAGTGGCTGAGGTGGGGGCTGACCTTGAGGGCTGCTTCCCCCTGCTGGCATCATGGAAGGGGCTTCTGCACCTCTGGCCTCCTCATTGCTGCCTGTGAGACACAGATGGCATCCTACTGGGGTGGGGGATTGGAGCTGAGGAACGGTGCCTCCAGGATGTTTGCTCTGAGGGTCAACCCATTCCTTGTTCTCAGGCTTCTGGGCCCTGCCGCCCTCATCTCCTGGGGTCACTGGGCTTTAGTAGGATACGTAGTCTCTCTGGCACTGACAGCAGGACCGGGAGGGGACCCTAGCATCCTGGTCCCCAGCCTGCCTTCCCTCTGCTCTAGAGAGGGAAGCTGGGTGAGCCAGTCCTGGGAACCCTACTGGGATAGGCATACTGCTCAACTGAATGGAGGTGCTCCTGGGTGCGCTGGAGACCCCCCACCCATCCTCTTCTGTTGGCACTTTTTCATTCTCTCTTTCTGTCTCTTTCATCTCTTCTCATCTCTGTATCCATCATGACTTACTTTTGTCCCAGGAGACCTCCAAAAGAATGAGAGTATTCTAAGGAACTGAGGCTGCTCTCAGTGCCAAGTGCATTGAGTTGCCTTACAGGTTGGGGCAGGGCCAGCTGGGGCGGGAGAGTGGCTCTGTGGCCAAGGTGCTAGGCCCTTTCCTTTGCCACCTGCTGCTGGAGGTGGGTCCAGCTGTTGTTCTGGGGCCCTGCCATAGGGAATGCTATGAAGATTGTGAGGGGTCCCCTGTCTTTAGCTGGGGCAGAGGGTGGGGAGCTGCTGGCCTTCCCTGATGGCCTGTGGGGCTTTTTGTCTGCTCTATTCCCCCAGGCCGGGCCAGTCTTCATGATAAGGCATCTCTGCGGCTGGAACAAGTTCGCTCTGAGGACCAGGGCTGGTATGAGTGCAAAGTGCTCATGCTGGACCAGCAGTATGACACCTTCCACAACGGCAGCTGGGTCCACCTCACCGTCAACGGTGAGTGAGGGCTCCTTCCGGGGTGGGTCCACCTCACCATCAGTGGTGCCTGAGGGTTGTTTCTAGGGTGGGCCTGGAGGACTGCCCCGAGGGCCTGCCCCAGGGGAAGCCCTTCTCCCAACCGCACCCCACCCCATGGCCCTCTCCTTGTTGCTGTGGTTCCATGAGACATCAGCTTGCTCCTGCAGTGTCCCTCTGCTATCTTCCCGAAGCCTCTGCAGGCAGTGCAGGTGCCCTGGAGCAGCAGCTCCCTGCACGTGTGGTGCTGTCAGAGTCCTTAGAGGGACATGGGAAGCTGCTGCTTCAAATCAGAGGGCTGAAGCTTTAAGGTGGCAAAATTGGTCACTGCTGGGATTATTTCTCAGCCTTGGGAAGACCCTGCTACTCCAATTCTGGTGGAATTCCTGGGGTCTCAGAGTTAGTCTTTCTTTTTAGATTGATATTTTGGTTCTCTTTAACCACATTTGATTAGTATGTACCAAGGGTATAGTGTGTGTCCAGCTCTGCAGCTGACGATAGAGAAACACTGACAAACAGTCCCTGCTTGTGTGGGGTTTACCAGGTAGTAAAATGCAAGCATCCTGGGAAGAGTCACAGTTTTAATGGGCATCAGTTACTTACAACTCAGGTTAAATGACTTGTGCTGGAGAAGATGCTTTTCAAGGGTCTGAGTAAGGGCAAGGAAGCCCCAAGAGCTTGCTGAGCTCTGGGAGTTGGGCTAGACGGGGGCCTGAGTCCCCGGCAGTGACAGCACTAGGGGCTGGGTCCTCGGGGTCTCCCTGGAGGGAGAGTCTCCTCTTTGTGTCCCTGGAAGGAGGTCCTCTGGAGGAGCTAGAAGACTGGAACCACGGAGAAAAGATGAAGAAGTGGTCCCCGTGGTGGGAGGGGAGCGGGTTTTAAAAAACGTTTCTTTTCGTTTTTTGGCCAAAAAATTAGTAATATATCCTTCATTATTCCATTGATGACAAAATTTGTATCTAGCTATCGTTGTGTTGCAGATACTGTACTAGTTATTGAGGCTTCAACAGCGTAGGTGCTTGGGTGTGCCACATACAGCTTACGGTCATTGAGACCGTAGATGCTGTGGTTAGAATAGAGAAATTGATGTTCCTGGCTAGGAAGCTTCTCTCAGTATTGATCTGCCCTGAAGGATGGCTCTGTCTGCCCTGCGTAGGGGGGCTGGGGCAGACCTGTATTCTTTTTGGGCCTGAGAACTTGTCTGGGGTCCTGGAAGAACAGAGTATGTTATGTTTTAGCAAGATCACTGGCTTTGGGGAAAGAAACCTTAAAGCTTGTGGCCCTAGGCTGGTGTGCGTCCAGCCTGCCTAGCCCAGCCCTCCTTGTGGGAGGTGGCTGGCCTCCTGTCAATCAGTCCCAAGAGACTGACTGAAGCATATTTGAAATCTTTGGGGGGATTGTTCCGACCACCTGCCAAACTTTTGAGTCACCCCCTTTTGGTGCCAGCTGTTGCGTGAGCAAAGAATAGGAACCCAAGCAAAGTGTAATTAGAAAGGCAAATCTGCTGCTAAATTCTTGCCTCGATGAACACCAGGCTGAGGGTCCCCACATTGCTTCCCTTCTCTCCTGTGCTCTGTTCTGAATGGTGGGGTGAAACCATCTTGGGGCATTGCCTCCGTTCTTTTGCATATCCTGGTTGGCAGTGTTCATTTCAGGAATCTGAGACACCAGGCATTCAGTGGACATGCGTATGACTGGAAAGTAGAATCTCACTTCAATTTTGTGTTCTAGAGCGTATCTGTGTTAGTTTGCATGAGTGGGAGTGGGTTCTTTGGGAATTCATAATTGCTTTGAGTGGGATAAGCATGGAGCAAGACCTTTAAAAGATGAGGTTCATTTCATAGACCCACTGTGTGCTAGCTGTGTGCTCTGGGCAAGGTTACTTAACCTGTCGGACTTCCGGCTCCTCAGTGACAAAAGCAGCGACTACGATTTGCAGGGTTGTTGTGAGGACTAAGTGAAATGCTGGATCTTGCACAGTGTCTGGAGTGTTAATTACATGTGGGTAATTATGTGTGAGATGCTGGCCATCCTCCTTCTCAAGAGGAAACAAACAAAGTCAGATGAAAATCTAGTAGCAGGGATATCAGGCCGGAAGGTGTAGAGGACTTTGGTAGTTCTGCGAATCTACCAACAATTATCTATTCGAAACATAGTTTTGGACGTGCACTCTGTGGCAGGCTCTGGGAATACAGCAGGAGGCATGACCCTGTCCTGGGTCTTAAGGAGACTTCAAGAGACTGTCACATCCAGAGATTACTGCAATATGGCTTTGGGAGCACAAAGGAGGGAGAGCTTCTCTGAAGAAATGGCCTGTCTTCAGAGACCTGGCTAGGGAGGGAAGGTCGTCATGTGCAGGTGGAAAGTGGGGTAGGGTCCTCCAGGCAGAGGAGACAAGCGTGCTCGGAAGCCCAGAGCAGGAAGAGCGGCTCATTCAGGGAACGCGGGTAGGCTGCTCATAGGGAAGTGCTGGGCGGGAAAGCTGGGGATGGTGCACCATCTGCTCCAGGCTTGAGAACCAGGGCTGGCGATAAACGATGCTTTTCCATAATCAAGGCACCTACCTGCACACGGGCAGAACAGAACCAACCCTTCCGAGGTGAGAGATCTCCTTTCTCCTCTTCTGCCTTTCTCTTCTTCCCAAGTTCGAGGCTCCTTCCAGCATAAATAGTTCCGTTATTGAAGGAAGGAATCCAAGCACCAGCATTCCGTTGCTTTCAAACTAGAATGTTTAATGTCAGGCGTTTTCTGACAGGGATCACCTTTGGAAAATGAAAGGCCAGTGAACAATTAGAATTACAAATTGTCTCATTTTCCTTCTGTGTTTTCTTTGAAGACCAGTTGGGTGGAAACAGACCCAATTATTTCTTTATCACATATAAAATACCCCAAAAGCCTGAGCCAAGCCTTCCTTTAGGTTGGTGAATTACGTGGAGGAGAGGGCAGCCTATTACTAACCTGCACTATTAATTACAGGGCACTTGTAAAAAAGAATTAAGCCTGGAAATGCAGCTGGCAAGCTAACATCTAATTCAGTAAATAATTGAGAGTCAAACCATTATTTTCCTGAAAACTAGAAATTGTTCAACGTACTTTCCTGATTAGCACCTAAATAATAAAGTAATTATGTAGTTAGTAAGTAATTTGTCACTTCAGGATGTAAATTTAATTTATTATCTTTTCTTTTAAGCTTGGCACCAGGCGTAATAGAGGCAGTGTCTGTGTTAACTGTATTTCAAGGGGCAGGCTGGGCAGGGAGAGGCTGTGTCGGAGATGGACACACACTCTCAGTGGGAAGAGGCCTGCAAGTGAGGATCCCAGGACCCCTTTACAAGGACTTTGAATGACTTTTTGCCATTATTTTTAGTATATTCTTAGGCACTGGATAAGAATTGATTTTTTTGAGGACGTGCGAGGCGTATGTTATTGCATGTGGTGACGTGTGAGGACGTGCGAGGCGTATGTTTTTGCATGTGGTGACGTGTGCGAGGACGTGCGAGGCGTATGTTTTTGCATGTGGTGACGTGTGCGAGGACGTGCGAGGCGTATGTTATTGCATGTGGTGACGTGTGCGAGGACATGCGAGGCGTATGTTTTTGCATGTGGTGACGTGTGCGAGGACGTGCGAGGCGCATGTTTTTGCATGTGGTGACGTGTGCGAGGACGTGCGAGGCGTATGTTTTTGCTTGTGGTGACGTGTGCGAGGACGTGCGAGGCGTATGTTTTTGCATGTGGTGACGTGTGCGAGGACGTGCGAGGCGTATGTTTTTGCATGTGGTGACGTGTGCGAGGACGTGCGAGGCGTATGTGTTTGCATGTGGTGACGTGTGCGAGGACGTGCGAGGCGCATGTGTTTGCATGTGGTGACGTGTGCGAGGACGTGCGAGGCGTATGTTTTTGCATGTGGTGACGTGTGAGGACGTGCGAGGCGCATGTTTTTGCTTGTGATAACGCGTGCTCCTGCATTCATTCAGTGGCCACCCCCTGTGTGCCCCTGATGTGCTTGCACTGAGCTGCAGGCTTCGGAGATGGGAGATGAAAGTGGTGTAACTATGGTCTTGCTCTTAAGAAGTGTTTTGTGTTTGCACTGGTGCTGGCCTGTAGGTCTGTGCATGTGTGAACACCACTCATTTGTTTGTTTCATTCTTTCATTCATTCGACAAATGTTTGCTGAGCCCTTGGCTACTACATCCAGGAACTATGCTAAAAGCTGGGCATGTGGTGACCTATATGCAAAACGGGGCTGCCCTTAAGGAGCCACCATCCTAATAAAGGGGACAGGTAAGAAATAGGTAAACACACACACAGAGAGAGAGAGAGAGAGACTTGTAAGTGACATGTGCTTTGAAGGAAATGAAACAGCACCAGGGAGCAGAGAATGCTGGAAGTGCCATCTGAGATGGGATGGGCTGCCCAGGTCAGGCAGCATTTTAGCAAAGACTTGCATGAACCAAAGGAGGGAGATCCAGGTATGTAGTTCTGGGCAGGTAGAGCCGCACGTGCAAAGGGCCTGAGGTCAGAAGTTCTTGGCGCATTTGAGGAAGACAAAGACAGCCAGTGTGGTTAGAGTGCGCTGGGAGGGAGAGGAGGCTGGTGCTACAGGCAGGACCAGATCCTATAGCACCGTGACTAGTTCTTGGGGCAGGGCTGTGTGGGGAGGAGCGACTCTTCCCAAAGCTTCCCGTGAGTGTCTCAGCGGCTCCGGAAGAGATGATAGTGATGGCGGTGTTACTGGCAATTTGTACATTTTACAAGCTCCTTTTTACATGTTTATTCCTCACATCATTTCTGGAGGGTGGGGGATTTAGGTATTTAGGTAAGACCCAGAGAGGCCAAGTAACTTGTCAAGGCTACCAGAAGTGGCAGGCTAGTGCTTGAACTTGGGTTCTGAGCTTCACGTACCTTGAGATGAGCTCAGCTTGACCTGCGCCAGCCTAGTGCTGTGGGCCTCAGGGCCGGAGTTCAGAACTGGGGGCCTCCTTGCCATCTCAGAAGACTGTGGAACTGATAGTCCAAGGGGTTAAGATTGACCGGATTGCTTCTACAAGCAGCTCAGGCAAATGGGACTGAGTCTGTTAAAAGCCGATTATCCAAACAGGATGGAGTTTTAATCAAATCTCCAACGCAGGGGGGAAGATGACGTGGCATAATCAGAGGAAAATGAAGAAGGGAGTGGCCTTTGGGTGGGCTGTCCACCTTCACCCGTGGAAGCCAGAGAGGGAGGAAGCAGGATGATTTTCTCAGCAGAATCTGGGAAAATGTGGCTCCGCATAGCCTTGGCCTGCATCTGTGTTAGGCCTTGGTGGGGCTCAGACGGCAAGTGTCCTGGAAATGGGGGGCCTGGCTGAGCTGGGATTCAAGAAGTAGAAGCTCCTGAGTGTCATGGATCATCATAAAGGGAAAGACTGAAGGATGGTAGGAAAGCCTGAGGAGCTGGGAGCAGACAGTGTTTGAAGGGCCACCCTGGAGTAGATGCTCAGTAAACAGCGGTGAACTGGGAATAAGCTACAGTGCAGAATTTGGACCCCGCCAGACTGAGTTTGGATGCACGTCTCCCTGCCAGTAATGGTGGTTCGCAGAACGTTTTGCCCATCCCCACGTTCCTTCCTTTGTCCTTGCGTTCCGCAGAGCTGCAGTGAGGGTGATGTGCGGGGCAGGCACTGTTGTTGCAGGGCAGTGACTTGGCTGATGGCGTGTCCTTCACCTTTGTGGTCTCCTTTGCAGCCCCTCCCACCTTTACAGAAACACCCCCCCAGTACATCGAGGCCAAGGAGGGTGGTAGTATCACCATGACCTGCACAGCTTTTGGGAACCCCAAGCCCATTGTCACCTGGCTCAAGGAGGGGACACTCCTCGGTGCTAGTGGGAAATACCAGGTGCGTGTGGTTCTAGGTTGGGGCCGCTGAAGTCTGTTTTCCAGGGCAGCCTCCCACTGCAGCCGACCCCTGATGCTACGTGCACAAGCACAGAGGAGGCTGGAAAGCCATGGCCTGGCTCAACTGCAGGCGTCTCTGTGTCACTGGCGGGAGGTGGGCAAGGGGGCATCTGCCCTTCGTGTCCCCCAGATGCATGTGTCCCTGCGGTCATCTCCACCTTAGCATCTCTGACTGCATCTCCCTGTTGGAGGCTAGCAGCGGTGGGTGCGAGCGTGGGTGCTGAGCTCCATCTGTTTCTGGCCCCAGGTGAGTGATGGCAGCCTGACAGTGACATCGGTCAGTCGGGAGGACAGAGGTGCCTACACCTGTCGAGCGTACAGCATTCAGGGGGAGGCTGTCCACACCACCCACCTGCTTGTCCAAGGTAGGAGCCATTTCCTCCGCCTCTCCACCCCCGGACGCGTGCGGGGATGTCCAGCCCGGCTGAGCTACGAAGGGCATTTTCCCAGGGCTCATCTGGGGCTAGGCAGAGGTGCAGGTGGCCATGAGGACCTGTGTGGGGCCCCTGTGTGCCGCCTGCTATCCTGGTCAGAGCTCCCGCACTGGCTGCCTGGGAGAGGGCCAGGCCCACAGGCCGTGGCCGGGCACCACATGGCGTGGCAGAGAGGCCCCTGCTGTGTGGGTTTCTGGTTTCTTCTTCTGTTCAGATAGCATCTCTACCATATCTCCGCCTCCCTGGGAGAGGAGACCTCCCTCGGGTCGTCTATCCATTAGTGACGGCATCAATAAATAAAGATAGAAACTCAATCCAAGCCCCAGACGTTTAAATAACACAGTGGGCATTTGGCAGAGCCGGGGTCTGTATAGTCAGCACAGGGAGATGCCAGTCTGCCCTGCCTGGAGCCTCAGAGTCCCCCAAGAGGGGCCAGGAACTGAGCAGGATGGGGCAGCGTCCAGGTCGGGGGGGTCTCCACCCTGTGCTGAGCTCGGCCCCCTGCTTAGCCTCCCCAGCCCTGCCTCCTGGAGGAACTCTGGGGTTGGGGGGTTGGTGGCGGCTGCATGCTCCTCCTGCCTATGAGTGTCGAGCAGCAGCCAGGGCCAGAGGTCCCTCAGCAGCCTGGATGGAAGCTGTTCCCTCTCAGGGGAGACTTGGCCACAGCTGCCCTCTCTGTCTGTGCAGCCAGCACCAGGACTGTTGGACTTTCACCCTCTGCTTACTCCTCGGCCCCTGCACCCCCAGCTGCCCTCTTGATTTCTGATTGGGGAGCAGCATACAGCCCTGACTCCTTGAGACTGGAGTATTCCTTGCTCTAGATTTGAAAAGAGTTGCCTTTCTCCCTGCTGCATCTCTGGCTTGGGCTCTGCTGGGAGAAGGCGGGCAGGAAAGGGGTGTGTGTGGCGGCTGGTCTGGGGAGCTAGGTGCAGGGGCAGGGGCAGTGGACAGGATGCCTGAGCACAGACAGCATCTGGAAGCGTCTCCATGACAGCCGCCCCCATTGCAGGGTTCAGGACACCCCTTACTGAGGCACTGAGGGCTCCCAGGAGGCCTGGGTGCTGCTGCCGTCCCTGATCAGGTGAGGTGAGGTTTGTTCCCTGCTCTCCCCAGGGCCCCCTTTCATCGTCTCCCCTCCTGAGAACATCACCGTCAACATCTCCCAGGATGCTCTGCTCACCTGCCGGGCAGAGGCGTATCCGGGCAACCTCACCTACACCTGGTACTGGCAGGACGAGAACGTCTACTTTCAGAAGTGAGCGCCCTGCTCTGGCTTTTCAATGAGGTTGCCACCCTGGTCCCCACGGGCAGGGCCCCTGAGCAGAAATTGCATGGGCAGGCTGCCCACGGCTCCTGGAGCTGGGGGAGGTGGGCGATCTGGTTCATGTGTCTCACATGCCAAGGCCAGGGTCTGCATGGAGGGGCCCTGGGGATGCCAGGGGCATGGGGTCTCCATGCCACATCTGGGGCAGTGATGGTGACTGTGTGTCTGTGGCAAGACCCCCTTCTGCTCACCCAATCCCCTGTCCCCGTGCCGCTTTGCAGTGACCTGAAGCTGAGGGTGCGCATCCTAATCGATGGGACCCTGATCATCTTCCGGGTGAAGCCGGAGGATGCTGGGAAGTACACCTGTGTGCCCAGCAACAGCCTGGGGCGCTCCCCCTCCGCCTCAGCGTACCTGACGGTGCAGTGTGAGTAGGGGTGCGGAGGAGCCTGGGTGGTGGGGCTTCCAGAAGGTTCTGGTGTTAGCCAGACTGTAGGCTGGAGGGTAGAAAAGACCAAGCATCATTTGGGGGTGTGTGGGTGGAGGAACGAATGAGGGAAAAAGGAGGGACGGCTGGAGACGAGGCCGAGGCCCTGGCCAGTCGGGGTGGACCAGCTCCTACTTCGTTGGCCAGGCGTCGCTGTTCAACCAGTGCATCTCATCAGCTCAGTGCAGGCTGCACTCAGGAAGACACCTTTGCGCAGTTCCTTCTGAACGGCGTTCCTCGGGCTGAAGGCTGGCCTGCACCTGTGTGGCCAGAACCAATTGCTCTCTGATGCTCTTTTCTCAGGTGTCTTACGGAGCATAGCCCAGGCCCACGCAGGGTTAGGTTTCTCCTAGCCTTACTCCCTGCCTTTCCACACCGTGTCTATGTCGGGGGTGATGTGCTGCAGCTCCTATGCCCACTCACTCTGGCTTCTGCGGCCTCTCCTCTTGGGTGGCTGGAGATCCAGATGAATGAGCTGCTCCTCACCCAGATGTTCGAGGGCTTTTGTGCAAGTACCACTATTCAGCTTGCTGATCTTTAATACTGAGCAGCCAGTTGCTTTCCCGCCCCCTGGCAAGCTGAGCCCTGAGACAGAGAAGGATGAGTAATGAGGAGTAATGTCCTCCTTTTGGTTTGTGGATGGCCCTGTCACTCAGGCAACAAAGGCTGGCATTGTTGCTGTAGACAACAGACTCTCCCTCATTTGCCGGCTGGTGTGGGCGGATTGCTCACACCCAGTGACAGGGAGTGGCAGGGGTGAGAAGTGGAACAGTCTGGAGATGAGACTGGGGTCAGTGTATGAGCTGAGGACAAGTGGAGAATGGCTGGTGGCCCTGGAGGTGGAGCTGGTCCGACTGCTGCCCAGAGCTGGATGTGGACGTTCCACTATTGGCTGCGCCTGCTGAGCTCCGTTGGACCCCTAACCTTGCAGTCTCACCCTTTCCTCTCTATGGAGTGCATCGCCTCTCTGCTTCTGCCGTCAGCCACTTAAAGGACTTTTGGTGTGCTGTATCCCCAGGCCCAAGCTTTAGAGAGCCGTGAGGCCCAGGACAACAGATCTCGCTCCCCAGACCTGCAGCGGGAAAAAGCGAGTCGAGAAGTTATTCATACGTGACTTAGGATGTGCCCAAGCTGTGCTGGGGTGGGCAAGAACTGCAGGAAGGAGAGACCCGTCCACCACAAAGGTGCGCCCCGTCCCTCTGTGCTGGACGCAGGCTGTGCCACCTGGCACGGAGGTGGCCATGGTGGGGCAGGAGGAGCCAACAGGAGGTGGCCTTTGGAAGACGAGCTGGCCAGGATGAAGGCCCCTCCTCGAAGCCATAGGCCATCTGTCTTTCTGGAGACATGTTTTGGTTTTCCCTGTCTCTCCCCAGTGCCAGCGTCACCACCCACTCCCCCTTGTCCTTTTTCACCTCCTTCCTGTCTTCAAAGAAAATCCAGGGGGTTGAGATTTACAGGTGGGTGAGACAAGGATTTTTATTTCTGCTAAAAAGCAGTGTTCAGAGTATTTCCCATTCATAAACCCTTTGAAAACCTTGGAGAAAAAAAAAAAAAAAAACTCTACCATACAAAAGTAGGAAGCTATGTCTAAATATATAACTCGGCCTGGTATTTATGTAATGCTGTTCTCTGAAGAGCTCAAAATGCTTAAAAGATACCAGCTCATTCATCCTCACTGCCTTCCTAGTTCTGGATCCTTCTTCTCCGTAGCCCTCAGGGGAAATAGGGGAGTACTGAGAGGAGGTGACTCAGCCTGCATCACAAGAGGTGTGAGGTTCTTCTTGCTCCTCCAAGAGCCAGGGTCTTGCTCTGTCATCAAAGTTGGAGTGCAGTGGTGCCATCACGGCTCACTGCAGCCTCAAACTCTTGGGCTCAAGTGATCCCCCTGCCTCAACTTCCAGAGTAGCTGGGACCACAGGTGTGTGCCACCATGCCCAGATAATTCAAAATTTTTTTTTGGTAGAGTTGGAGTCTCACTAAATTGCCCAGGCTGGTCTTAAATTCCTAGCCTCAAGCAGTCCTCCCACCCCTGCCTCCAAAAGTGTTGAGATTACAGGTGTGGGCCACTGCACCTGGCCTGATTCTGCATTTCAACTGCAGAATCAGATGGGGAAACTGAATCTAAGGAAGGCTGGACAGCCAGCAGAATGGGGAGGAAAAATATCCCCTTTGTGGTTAAGCCTATGATAGTGTTCTTCTTTTGGCTTAGGATGTAGAGAGGAGGTACTGCTTGTTGCTCAGAAGACTTTGGGATAAGGAGCTGTTGGGAAAGGGTGTGGGCAAATGCTGGCTTTGAGGCTCGGGGTCTAGGAACTGGGGGAAATGGGCACTGAGAGACCTCATTCAGTGGGTGAGGTCCATGGCAGAAGCATGACGGGCACTGAGGATGGGAGCAGGCTCAGACGTGCCTTTGAGTGCCTCCAGACATTCAGAACCGAAGTTCCGAGTACCTGGGCTGGTGCATGGGCTGCCTCCGGCCTGGATTCTCACCTTTCTTCCCTGTGTCTGTCTGCTTTCCCACCTGTGCTTCCTCTGTGCAGACCCAGCCCGTGTCCTCAACATGCCCCCTGTAATTTATGTGCCCGTGGGGATCCATGGCTACATCCGCTGCCCTGTGGATGCAGAACCACCAGCCACCGTGGTCAAGTGGAACAAGGACGGCCGCCCCCTGCAGGTGGAGAAGGTGCTAGAGAGATGCGTGTTGGGGGATGGAGTGAGGGCTCCCCCCAGTACTGTGATGCCACCTTGGGCTGTGGATTTCTGTCAGGACTCACGGCCCCTTCCAAAAGCCCTGGGCAAACAGAGAGCTGCTTCCGTAGGGGTCTCTGGTCTCTGGGGGTCTGTGGGTACCGCCCACCCCAGGCTGGAGCTGCATGCCATCCCACGTGCTGCCTGGCCCAGCTGGGACCCAGCCTGGGATGGAGCATGGAGTCTCTGACCAGCGTTCCCTGCTCTATCATCTGTGTCTGGCAGAACCTGGGTTGGACCCTGATGGAGGATGGCTCCATTCGAATTGAGGAGGCCACAGAGGAGGCTCTTGGCACTTACACCTGTGTGCCTTACAACACCCTGGGGACCATGGGCCAGTCTGCCCCTGCGAGGCTTGTCCTGAAGGTGAGGTCCTGGGGCTGTGACCGCCTCCATGAGCTGGGCCCCTGGATCCCCGGCCTCATGAGGGTGCCTGTGCTTTCCTCCCCAGGACCCCCCCTATTTCACGGTGCTACCAGGCTGGGAGTACAGGCAGGAGGCCGGCCGGGAGCTGCTTATCCCCTGCGCGGCCGCGGGGGACCCCTTTCCTGTCATCACGTGGAGAAAGGTAGCTGGGCCCTGGAGCTCCTGGGGCTGCGGGGAGGTGTGAGGACACAGCGAGCAGTTCTATTCTGGACCTGCCCTGACCAGGCTGGATGCCAAGCAGTGAGCTGACCCTGAAGAGCAGCAGGCACTCAGGAGGAGGGGCAGCATGGGTGGGCTGGGGTCTCAGGCGCATCCTTCCCATCCACTTCGGGCTTCTCTCCTCACCCCCATTTCTGTTCCCGCCCTCTTCCCTGCCCCTTGTTCACCAAGGTAGGGAAGCCCAGCAGAAGCAAGCACAGTGCCCTGCCCAGTGGGAGCCTGCAGTTCCGTGCCCTGAGTAAGGAGGACCACGGGGAGTGGGAATGTGTTGCCACCAACGTGGTCACGAGCATCACTGCCAGCACCCACCTCACCGTCATCGGTACGTGTCTGACAGGGCAGTGGGGCCAGAACAGGCTGGCTGGGGGTGGGGTGCTGGACGCTGGGGGCATCTCCTGGTGGCCACTGCACTCTTCGGGCATCCTTCCTAAGTCCGTCCAGCCCTGAACCCCAAGTCTAGCACCTGCAGCCTTTGCCCCTGTGGGCTCTGTCAGGGAAGGGCAGCATGGCTCCTGTCCTCGGGGAGGTCTTTTTGGGGACAGGCCTGATGTCCACAGCAGCCCACCTGGGAAAGAGGTGGCTGTGTGGCTGGAAGGGACTGCAGAGCCTTTAAGGGCCTTAGGGAAAGCTGGAGGACTGGAATGAGGGAGACGGGGACTGTGCAGCATCTCAGATGAGGGCAGAGCTGAGACCTGCAGGCCAGGCCTGGCGTGCGGAGGCTGGGCAGGAGGAGGTTGCAGGTGTTCTGTGTCTGGGCGTTCCTGTTTCTGATTGCCCAAGGCGCGTGTCCCAGGACCTTCGCCTGGACCCTCTCAGCCTGTCCTGGGTCCTGATGGCTACAATCATAGTCACAGGCAACGCCTTTTGAGCCTTTACCACCAGTTTTAGGTTCCGTTCTAAGTGGTCTGCACAGCTCGTCCTTCACAACTCGGGAGGTACGAGCTGAGCTTTCCCTAGTGTATGTTCCTCGAAGCAGAGGTTGGCGTGACCCGAACGCTTTCTCCGGCGTCACATGGTTAAGAAGTAGTGGATCCGGGAATCGAAGCCAGGATGAGGCTCCTGACTGCTGTGCTGTGCTGCCCACACGCCGGCATTGGGGTGTCTCCTGAGGCCAGAGAACCTTAACAGGAGGGGACTCTGTGGCTGTGCCTGTGACCTTAGGAGTGTTTCTGTGCTTACCAGAGAAGCACAGGATTTGGGCCAGGACGAGGAGGGCTCTGGTTTCTATTGGACCCATTCCTGATGCTATGTGATCTCCTAGTTGGACTAGACTGCACAGTGGGACAGACTTCCTGCTCCAACCCCACTAACCAGTAGGGTCAGGGGAGTCAGCACCTAAGAGCACCCCGTTGCCCCTATCCCTTCACTTGCAATATTGCGCTCCGCTGCCATGCGCTTCAGCCTCTCAGGTTCCCCACAGCAAGACGGTGGGCACCCAGCCAGATGGCTGAGTTCTTTTCAGTCTGAGAGGTCTCCACTTGATCTCCAGGCACCAGCCCCCATGCCCCGGGCAGTGTCCGGGTCCAGGTCTCCATGACAACTGCCAACGTGTCCTGGGAACCAGGCTATGATGGAGGCTACGAGCAGACATTCTCAGTTTGGTACGGACCTCTGTGAGTCACCCCGGCATGCTTTGCTCTCTGCTTCTCCCCTCCCACATCTGCCTGCAGGCCACCCTGGGTGGGGGGAGGTAGGAGGAGTCTGCAGTTCCTGGCCCTGCATAGAGTGAGGTGGGTTGAGACAGTGATGAGGTCCTTGAGGGTGACGGGAGGGGTCTGAAGGGACTCTGGGCATGGCTGTGTCCCTGTGGCCTGAGGGGTCTGGGCCTCTCTGTGCCTTCTCCCTGCTCATCTACTGCCTCATTTTGTGTCCTGCTTCATCCTCTGGATTCCTCTGGAGCCTGGAAGAGACTTCTGCCCTTCAAGGGCTTTGTGAAATTGCCCAGCCTTAAGTGTAGAGTCTAGTTTTTAGAGCTTAAATTTTTTGTTGTATTTTTGTATTTGTAGTTTTTGTGGGTACATGGTACATATATTTATAGGTATGGGGTACATGAGATATTTTGATACAGGCAGGCAATGTGTAATAATTGCATTGAGGTAAAGGGGTATCCACCCCTCAAACATTTGTCCTCTGTGTTCCAACAATCCAGTTATACACATAGTGATTGAAGAATGTATGATACATTATTGTTGATTGTAATCCTCTGTTGTGCTGACAAATACCAGGTCTTACTGGTTCTTTCTCACTATGTTTTGTACGTGTTCACCCTCCCCACCTCCTGTGGTCTAGTTTTTATTCTGTCTCTTCCCCAGTGGCCACAGAAACTGGTGTGGAGAGGTGATGCTCACTTCCCGGCCTTGGGGTCAGCCCCTGCATTTTCTCTCTAGGACCATGTGTTTCTCGATTGTTTTCATTCCTCTGTTGTCAGTTTAGCCAGATGCAGTGATTTGAGATCTTTGCGCAAACCTTACGGTAGATAGAGATCTCAAAAATGTGCCAAGCGGGGTGAGGGCAGGAGGCACAGGAGGGGAGGAGACAGAAGCCTGGCTGACTCCTCCCATGCCCCCAGGGCTGCCCCTCCCCACACTCCTGTCTGAGTCAAGAGTGGCAGCCACCTGCCCTGCCCCGGGTGTGACAGCCTTGAGCTAGGAGGGTGAGCCCCTCAGTGCCTTCTTTTAGACCTGTCTCGCCTGCACGTGTCTCTCCAGCCAAGCTAACTCGAGCCTGGGGAGGAGGAAAAGGCAGGTGCCAGAGGCAGCTCAGGGGGTTCAGGGAGACCCCTTTTTCCACTTCTCAGCAGCAGGGGAAGTTGAGAGGGGAACCCGCCCTGTTTCCCATCACGGTGGTTCGGTGGCTACTTCTCAGACAGAGTGTTCTGGGTGTCTTGATTCTGAATTGGAGAACTGCACCTAGATGATGGGAGTTGCAGCAGCTCACCTCCTATCCCTTTACTCTGTTCTTCCCGCAGCAGCGTGGGGGCCCTAACCAGCCTGCCTGGTGGCTGCTGCGAGACTGGTGCTGCTCAGTGCCTTGGTGGCCAGGGTGGGACATTTGGTGTGGCCAAGCTGTCATTGGAGATGCCTGGGTGGGAGGTCTGGACATCCGACGGGGGGCTCAGGCGTGGACTGGGGCTCCCCTGCTGCCTGCGGCGCTGCTCCACGCTGCTGTTCGTCTGCACTGCTTTTCCACACGTGGCTCCGCTGCTTTGTTGCCTGGGGCAGGGAAGGGCGGGGCCGAGGTGGGGATGTCTCCTTTCTTTCTGCCTGCCTCTAACTCTGTGTACTGACTCCGACGTTTGGCGCCGGCTTCTTTTTGTTCTGCTTTCTGCTGCCTCAGTTCACCCTCCTGGGTTAGTGAGCCAGGAGCCTGGGAGCGGGTCCTAGAGGGCACCCACCAGGTTACAGCTCAGGGCTGCAAGGAGAGGGCCAGTCCCACAGGACCATGTCTCCTCCTTGTGGTGACGTGGCGGCACTGCACCCATAGCCCACCGGCTTTGCTGGGAGTTGGGAGCTTGTGGAACAAGGGAACACCCTCGGCCCTGTCTTCCTACTCTCCATGCATAGTGTGACTTTCCTGATGTGACTTCCAACCCTTATGGCCTTAGGGATCCTGGCCCCACTGTGGGGAAACCCCTGGTCATTGTGGTCTTATACCCCGGACATCTCAGATGACTCAAGTCTGATTGGATGAATGAGCCCTGTGGGTTACCCGAGGCCCTACTTTGGCTGTCCCTGGGGGTGTGTGCAGCCAGGTCCCCCGGGCTCCTTCCCTCATCCCACCACTGTAACTGCTTCTCTCCACACCCCAGTGTCCTTACTCTCCCCAGGCAGAGCTTGTTCTTAGGGTTTTGACCAGGGTGGGATTCTGCTAGTGCAGCTGGTAATCAATTGGACCAGTGTGCTGAGCATGACTTGCACCTAAAGGCCCCTTTGGTAGAAAAGGTGCCAGCTGCGGTTGGTCACCCGGCATCAGGAGGATTGGCACAGTCAAAGCTGGGCAGGTCATCCACTCTGGGCCATGCGCTCTTCTTGCCCTTGAACCTGGGAATGCCAGGCCCACCAGTTCCTTCTCCCTGAGCACCCTGCATGCACCGTCTTCTCTCCAGTGTAACCCACCCCGCCCCTCGTCCCCTATCCTGTCTCTCTCTTTTGGCCAGGATGAAGCGGGCACAGTTTGGGCCCCATGACTGGCTGTCCTTGCCAGTGCCGCCAGGACCCAGCTGGTTGCTGGTGGATACCCTGGAGCCTGAGACAGCGTACCAGTTCAGCGTCCTGGCCCAGAACAAGCTGGGAACCAGCGCCTTCAGTGAGGTGGTCACTGTGAACACTTTAGGTGAGGGCCCGGGGTGGGTTGTTGGGAGCCGGGGTTGTAGAGGTGGTGGGGGCAGTGGCCCAGGCAGCTAGCAGTTGGTTTCCTGCGTGCCGGGTACCTTGCTGAGTGTTCCACGGAGCCATGCTGTCTGATCTCCCCGTGAGGATTTGTTGTGGCCTCTGTGGGGTTTGCTGGCCCCGCATCAGAGTGCTGTTGGCCGAGTTCCTGTTGCTTTTTCAGATGGAAGAAAGACACTTAGAATTTTCTCTTTCCTTGTCAGGCCACGTGTTTGCCACTTCTGTGGCTTTCAGGGGAGATTGGGCATCCTCCCTCCTTGACAGCGCCTGCTGGTTCTTGCCTTTGGCTCCAGCCTCACTGGGCGGTAGGCATGTGGCTGCCTCCCGCTGTGGAGTCTTCCCAGTCACCTTCCTGGAGGCAGTCTCATACTCCTCCCTGCCTGGCGACAGTTGTGTTTGCTCTGCTCTGGAGCCAGAGAAAGGGCCGCTGTGAACAGGCTTTTCCTAGGTGGTGTGGGTGGCCCGACTCCAGCCCCTTTCCCAGAATTCGCTCCTGAGCTTCCGCCAAGGTAGACAGCAGTCTGGGATGCTCACCTCCAGTCCTTGGCACCTCTGTGGGGCCTCATGTTGACCCCAAGCCCCGGCCAAGAAGGGAATGGAAGGAGCGACTGCTGTGCTGTGAGAAAGAAGATATCCCTAGCTCCCTGGAAGAGCACAGGAGATACTTTGATAACATTTAATTATTCCTCCTTCTCCATAGTTCCCATTTCTCTTCCCTTTCGCAGTACACGATTCCTTCATGTATGCTCTTTAGACGTACTCTGAAGACAGAACCCTGAAGCCCTGGGCCCCCAGGCCCTGACTCTGCTTCCCTCTGGGCCCTGACGTGTGCACGGGAATGTGGGAGTGCAGCAGCCGCCCTGGGCCTTGCTGATGCGCTATGGTTCTTCTCCCTCCCCTGCCGCAGCATTCCCTATTACAACTCCAGAACCCCTGGTGCTGGTCACCCCACCGAGGTGCCTCATAGCCAATCGGACTCAGCAGGGTGTGCTCCTGTCCTGGCTTCCGCCTGCCAACCACAGCTTTCCCATCGACCGCTACATCATGGAGTTCCGCGTCGGGGAGCGCTGGGAGATGCTCGACGATGCCATCCCCGGCACTGATGGAGAGTTCTTTGCCAAGGATCTGTCACAGGTGAGGGCCTTGCTCTTCCTTGCTGCTGCTTCCCAAATCCTGGAAGTGACAAGACTCCAGAGGCACTGGAAGCTTTGAGTGACCAACTTTGGGTGTGTGAGGCCAGCCACATACTGTACCTCCTCACCACTGGTCCTGGGTTCTCCCAGACTCGCTACCGAGGCCTGGACTCCTCAGATCATGATCCACAGGCTTGGGGCCAGCTCCGGGGCAGCAGGGACCTGTGTTCTATTGAGGGCCTCAGCACCGCCACAAACTGGGCAGGGCAGGTTGAGAGGCCAGCAGGCATAATCAGAGCACTGACCCCAGCCCCTTGCTAAGCCTAACCTGGGATGGGCAGAGAAATTCCAAGAAGAATTCTCTTCTAGGTTTGTCCAAGGAAGGACCCCATCTCCAATAATTTAGAGTCCCTGGAGGAAAGTGCATTATCCGTTTTTCCAGTAGCCCTGTTAAACTTGGATATCTAGCTGGGGAGAGGAAGCAGCTGGTTTCGTAAGATACAATCTCATCTATCTTTCTGTCTTCCTTCCTGGACACTTATTTATTAATAGTGGTTGCTGGAGTGGGCTCCCAGTGGCCCTGGAGAGCCTGTTGTACATATCTCTTCCCAGCGCTTTTGGTGACCTCACATTCGTAGCTTGAAGTCAGCCATTGTAAGAGTGTTTACACCACAGCAATTGGCCAGTGCTACCATCACTTAGCGTTAGACGCTTAGCAGTCCTCTCGTGCTTTGGGCACCCTGCCCTTCGCAAGGCTGTGTGCAGGATGAGTGTTTGTGGGGATAGTGGTCATCTCAGGTCCCTCGGCTGACTGGGTATTGTCCCTGGCGCTGTAGGACACGTGGTACGAGTTCCGGGTTCTGGCCGTCATGCAGGATCTGATCAGCGAGCCCAGCAACATCGCCGGCGTCTCCAGCACAGGTATTTTGGGTTGAGGGTGCTCTTGCAACTCTAGGGACGTAAGCCCCAGAGCTGCATGGGGGTCGTTTTGTGAAATAGCGACTCCACAAGGAGAGGCTGGATTGGAAACTAAGGAGGTGCCTGGTTGCAGCAGCTGTGTGAGTCGTAGCCTTTCTTAAGCCCACCAAACCCATATTTCCATGATGCGTGCTATTTCGTGAAGCTCAGAAGCTAAGTTTCTGACACTTGTACAAGACAGCCACAGAAATAAATTCAACTAATCGTCTCATTATAGTAGTCAAAAAGGACTTGATTGAAGTGCTATTTGCTGTACATTTTCAGTTTCCTCTTGTGGGGGAGGGGCTGTGAATCAGAGGAAACAACAGGTCAACCATGTTTATCGAATGCTTGTGATAGACTTCTTTCTAATTATGTGGGTTTTATTGGGAAAATTGTTGTTTGGTGTTTTCCTCCCTCCCTTCCTCTCTCTAGATTTTTAAGGCTAAACAAAGCCCACCCCCTAGCATTTTCTCCATTTATCTTTCTTTCTCTTGGCCCTGGTCCCATTTCTACACATCTTCTCTCCAGCTATAGTTCCTAAGACATAGCAGGGTTCCTCTGCCAGTGAAGGGGTGTCCTTGGTACGGAAAAAGGCTCTTGCTTATAAGCAAGTGATGGCATCATTTCCTCGGGCACTGCTCACCCAGAGACTCCTGGGAACAGGTGGCAGCAACCTCGTCTGAGGAGCTCATGCGGCAGGACTTGTAAAGTTGGGGAAGTGCTGGTGTGGACACACTGCAGGGAGCATGAGAGCAGGGGTGGGTGTGGAGTGCGATTTCTGCTTTATACATTAGGCACCAACGGGCTTTAAAAAAACAAAGTTGTGTCCTACAGGTAGCAGAACCCACAGTCCTTCTTGACTTCTCTCCGGGGAATAGACCCAGAGTTGGAGGAACAGGGATGAGAGCTTGCAGCTAAGGCTGGAGCTGAAGAAGGGGTGTTGTGTGGGCCGACCCCTGACAATTCTCTGCTCAGTAGCTCTCTGCCAGTTCCTGGCAGGAAATGTGCCTCATCAGACCCTTCCACATGGGAGAAGGAGGAGGCAGCAGCCTCAGCATTCCCTGTATTAGGTCCCCCATTTCCAAAGGCTGTAGCTTTCCTTTTCCCCTCAGACGATCAGCATCATCTGGATTATTTTTATCCATTATTATTATCAATGCAGCAATGAATTCTGGCCAAATACATTACAATCTATCGATTTTGCCTTTGCTGAACCTAAGCAGTGGCACTTACATAACTTTCCAATGAGTATAAGAAGGTAGGCTGGGGTCTGATCTTGGCTCGGTCATAACGAGCTCTGTGGACTTGGGCAGGAAAGGAGGACGTTCAGTTCTTTACAGTGAAACAAGAGATTTGGCTCCATCTCTGCTGTCCCTGCCAGCTCTAGGGTACTTCCGTACCTGAGATGACCAGGGTGCGAATCTTCAGGACATTGCATGCCTGTGCTAGAAGGGGTTAAATACATTTGGATCTGAATTTTGTAGTAATAATCCCTCTTCCTGCGGTAGTATTTTATCCTCAAGTTGCCTTCACACCTGGGCTCTCCTTTTGTAGAGACAGTGTGGTGTGAGGCAGGAAATCCCAGACTGGGATCAGGCAGCTGCATTCTGGTTTTGGCACTGATGGCAATATTCACATAAGCAGGTCTCTCCAACTCAGCGGATCAGAGCCCTTTCATTTAGAGAATGAGAACAGTATGTGTGCTCTGTGTACCTCATGGGGTTAACATGAGAAGAGCTGATAACGTGCGTGAAGGTACTTTGCAGAAGGCAGAACCCTAGATAAGTATAGATTACTCTTGAAGTCATCATCCCCATGGGGGTAGGCATAGATGTTTTCTTCTTTATACCCTCTGGAGAGATTGACTTCTGTAGACTCTCCTATCTTCTTCCTCTTCGTGACACCATCCAGACCTCCTCAGTGCTAGAGTTCAGCTTGGAGCCTGAGCCTTGATACTGTCTGTTCTACAAAGGCAGGGTGAAACACTTGGGGACTGAAGGTCGGAGCAGGTGAGGTCCCGGGGAAGGATGGGCTCATGAGTGCTCCCCACCCTCCCTGCAGACATCTTCCCGCAGCCGGACCTGACCGAGGACGGGCTGGCGCGGCCTGTGCTGGCGGGAATCGTAGCTACCATCTGCTTCTTGGCAGCTGCCATCCTGTTCAGCACCCTGGCTGCCTGCTTTGTCAACAAGCAGCGCAAGCGTAAGCTCAAGCGCAAAAAAGGTGGGTGTCTGTCCCCTTCCCCTGCTCTCCCTGGTCCGGTTTCAAAAGCTCCCCATCAAGAGAGATGGACCAATTTTAGCATGGCCCCCCCTTGGAAATAGGGACATTGAGATCTTGTGGGTAGAGCTGCCAGTGAGGCTTGATTTGAAGGTGGGGGTAAGAAGCAGGGGTGTCGGGGAGAGGCTGCTGGGGCCCAAGCTAGCATGAAGGCAGGGGCCAAAGGTGCCCCCTGTGAGCAGCTCCTTCCCCGCGCGGCGGCGCTCCGGGGCCCTGTCAGCTTCTTTCCCGCGCGGCGGCGCTCCGGGGCCCTGTCAGCTCCTTTCCCGCGCGGCGGCGCTCCGGGGCCCTGTCAGCTCCTTTCCCGCGCGGCGGCGCTCCGGGGCCCTGTCAGCTCCTTCCCCGCGCGGCGGCGCTTCCGGACCCTGTCAGCTCCTTCCCCGCGCGGCGGCGCTTCCGGACCCTGTCAGCTCCTTCCCCGCGCGGCGGCGCTCCGGGGCCCTGTCAGCTCCTTCCCCGCGTGGCGGCGCTGCGAGGCCCTGTCAGCTCCTTCCCCGCGCGGCGGCGCTCCGGGGCCCTGTCAGCTCCTTCCCCGCGCGGCGGCGCTCCGGGGCCCTGTCAGCTCCTTCCCCGCGCGGCGGCGCTCCGGGGCCCTGTCAGCTCCTTTCCCGCGCGGCGGCGCTCCGGGGCCCTGTCAGCTCCTTCCCCGCACGGCGGTGCTCCGGGGCCCTGTCAGCTCCTTTCCCGCGCGGCGGCGCTCCCGCCCTGTCAGCTTCTTCCTCGCGCGGCGGCGCTCCGGGGCCCTGTCAGCTCCTTCCCCGCGCGGCGGCGCTCCGGGGCCCTGTCAGCTCCTTCCCCGCGCGGCGGCGCTCCGGGGCCCTGTCAGCTCCTTCCCCGCGCGGCGGCGCTCCCGCCCTGTCAGCTCCTGCGGATGAGCGTGCTGCGTGGTTGCTGGCTTGGCCTCAGCAGCCTCTCCCCTTCTCTTTCCTTCCAGACCCTCCACTTTCTATCACCCACTGCAGGAAGAGCCTGGAGTCTCCGTAAGTGTCTCTGATCCTGGGAGAACTGTGCTGTTCATGGCAGGGGGCACATAGGTAGACGGCTTGCCTCACCCAGCCCATCTCAGTGTTTCTAAGCCATTTCTTCTTGATTGCCCTGTGTGTTAATTGTACTTGCCCAGCCCCATCTCAGTGTTTCTAAGCCATTTCTTCTTGATTGCCCTGTGTGTTAATTGTAAGTTGTCCACACTGGTAGAGGGAGTGGCAGTGTAGATGATCCAAATTAGCCAGTAATCAGTTTCTCTTCAGCCTTGGAATGTATTTCTCTAGTGTTTTCCCACCCTAGCAGATTTGCCTCCTTAATATGTATTGCTTAAGTTGATATTAAAGTGAGCTTGCTAGCCTTGAAAAGGGGGGAATGAAGCTGGAGGTATGCTTAGAGCACACCAGAGAGGGGGCAGGCCAGCACAAAAGTGGAGAGGTGGGTGTTCACTGGAAAGATGGATGATGTGGTGGGGGCCAGGTGCGGTGGCTCACACCTGTAATCCTGGTGCTTTGGGAGGCTGAGGCGGGAGGATTGCTTGAGGCCGGGAGTTCAAGACCAGTCTGGGCAACATAGCAAGACCCCGTCTTTAAAAAAAAAAAAAAAGGAGGATGCACATCCAGACAGTGGAGAGTTGACCAAAGCATTTCACACCACGATACGCAGCCAGTTTTCTTTAGCATGAGGATCCTGGGTGCTGGGTGGTTGCCAAGAGAGGGAAAGGAAGTCCTGGCCAGCACACTCCCCCACCTCATCCCCTCCTGGCTCTCACTCCTCCCTGCAGCTTGTCCTCTGGCAAGGTGAGCCCTGAGAGCATCCGCACGCTCCGGGCGCCGTCAGAATCCTCGGATGACCAGGGCCAGCCTGCGGCCAAGAGGATGCTGAGCCCCACCCGTGAAAAGGAGCTGTCGCTGTACAAGAAGACCAAACGGGCCATCAGCAGCAAGAAGTACAGCGTGGCCAAAGCGGAGGCCGAGGCGGAGGCCACCACGCCCATCGAACTCATCAGCAGAGGCCCTGATGGCCGCTTCGTGATGGACCCTGCCGAGATGGAGCCCTCACTGAAAAGCAGGCGCATCGAGGGCTTCCCCTTCGCCGAGGAGACGGACATGTACCCCGAGTTCCGCCAGTCGGACGAGGAGAATGAGGACCCACTGGTGCCCACATCTGTGGCTGCCCTGAAGTCCCAGCTCACCCCTCTGTCATCCAGCCAGGAGTCCTACCTGCCACCACCAGCATACAGCCCTCGGTTCCAGCCCCGCGGGCTGGAGGGCCCTGGTGGCCTGGAAGGTCGGCTTCAGGCCACAGGCCAGGCCCGGCCCCCTGCCCCCCGGCCCTTCCACCACGGCCAGTATTATGGGTACCTCAGCAGCAGCAGCCCTGGGGAGGTGGAGCCGCCCCCATTCTACGTGCCAGAAGTGGGCAGCCCCCTGAGCTCCGTCATGTCATCCCCGCCCCTGCACACCGAGGGGCCCTTTGGCCACCCTACCATCCCCGAGGAGAATGGAGAGAATGCATCCAACAGCACGCTGCCCTTGACTCAGACACCTACAGGAGGGCGCTCCCCTGAGCCCTGGGGCCGGCCAGAATTCCCCTTCGGGGGGCTGGAGACCCCAGCAATGATGTTCTCCCACCAGCTGCCACCCTGTGATGTGCCCGAGAGTCTGCAGCCCAAGGCCGGCCTCCCCCGAGGACTGCCCCCCACCTCCCTGCAGGTGCCTGCAGCCTACCCAGGCATCCTGTCTCTGGAGGCACCAAAGGGTTGGGCAGGCAAGTCGCCTGGCAGGGGCCCTGTCCCAGCGCCCCCCGCCGCCAAGTGGCAGGACAGACCTATGCAACCTCTGGTAAGCCAAGGGCAGCTGCGACATACAAGCCAAGGCATGGGCATACCCGTGCTGCCTTACCCCGAGCCGGCTGAGCCGGGGGCGCACGGCGGCCCCAGCACATTTGGCCTGGACACCCGGTGGTATGAGCCCCAGCCCCGGCCCCGGCCCAGCCCCAGGCAGGCCAGGCGCGCCGAGCCCAGTTTACATCAAGTGGTGCTACAGCCTTCCCGGCTCTCACCTCTGACCCAAAGCCCCCTCAGCTCCCGCACTGGCTCCCCTGAGCTCGCCGCCCGTGCCCGGCCTCGCCCGGGCCTCCTGCAGCAGACAGAGATGTCAGAGATCACCCTGCAGCCTCCTGCTGCAGTCAGCTTTTCTCGAAAGTCCACGCCGTCCACGGGCTCCCCGACCCAGAGCAGCCGCAGCGGGAGTCCCAGCTACCGGCCCGCCATGGGCTTCACCACACTGGCCACAGGCTACCCTTCCCCTCCACCTGGCCCCGCCCCTGCTGGGCCTGGGGACAGCTTGGACGTGTTTGGACAGACGCCTTCCCCTCGAAGGATGGGGGAGGAACTGCTCCGACCAGAGCCCCCACCACCCACGTTACCTACTTCAGGGTGAGTGCGCCGCCTCTTCCACCACCCGCACCTGGTCAACTTCCTTCCCCACCCGCCTCGCCCTGCCCTCCACCCCGTCCATCCGCCCGGCGACAGGGCTTGTGTGGACATGCTGCACCAGCATCCCTCGGGACAGGAGTTCTGGCCGCCGCGGCATTGGCAGGGTGCAGTCGCTGGGGTGGAGCAGGCCCACCTGCCCAGGTGCCCTGCCAGGAGCATGAGGCATCTTCTCCAGCAAGCCCTGAGCTCTCAGCGGGCGCACCACCTACCAGGGAGCAGCGGATCACAGCGAGTGCCCTTGCGGGGGTGGACCCCGTCCCTCTTGGAGTTGATGGCTCTCCGTGTCCCTGTGGTCCTGGCATCGGGCGGTGGTCCTGGGGGTTGCCCACACACCTCGTGTCTAGCCTCCTTTTCTTCCCCGGCCCCTCCTCCTTGTTAAGCAGGACCCCGGAGCCTGACTTCTCCAGACCACCAGGCCAGGGGCCTCCTGTTCCCAAACTCCTGGCCCTTAGCAGCCCTAGTGAGCGCCGGACTCCAGCCCCCTCCTCAGCCTCTCCTGGAGGCCCAGAGAAAAGTGTCAGGCCTTGTGACCATGTGCAGGACACGTCCCCCACCCCCACCTGTATACCTCGCAGGAAGCTGCAGAGAGACAGACAGACAAGCTCCGGCTATCAGCCCGCCTGAGAGAGCACTCTCTAAACTGTAGCAGCTGGTATTCCAGGTACCAGAGCCTGGACACCTGTCTATGCCTCTTCTTCTCTCATCCTTCTCCCCTGCCGTCCCCCCTCCTCCTCCCCCTGCCCCTCCTTCCTTCTCCAGTCAGTCTTTCTCTCTGCCTATCTTCCTTCCTCACCATCGTCTTTGGGTTGACCCGACTTGCTCAGAAGAACTGGCCACGCCTCTGTAGTGCCCCTGGATACCCCGTCCCCCCGCCCTCTTCTCTCTCTCTTTCTCTCTCTGGCTCCGTCCTTTGGTCTCTCTTCTTGATGTAGCCGCCTGTGGAGGGAGCAGAGAGTTCCAGAGGAGGCTGGCCTGGTGGTAGGCAGGATGGGAGGTGGTCGAGGAGGAGGGAGCCCAGCGCCCTCCCCCTGCCCCGTCCCCCACCCTCCCTGGTACCTGGAAGTACAAGGTCACCTCCCAGCCCCAGCGCCACCGCGGGCTGCTCGGGGCGGTGAAGGGGGTGCGGAGCTTAGGGCGCAGGGAGGTGGAGGAGCCGCAGCCGCCGCCTCTGTCTGCGCGGGAGGTGCAGCGGCAGCCCTGTCTCTGTGCTTTGTGCGCGCTCAGCTCATCTGCTTCCTTCCATCGTGTCTGGGTCTCTGTCTCTCTCCTCGTCCCTCCCCCGCGCTCCGGCCTCGCCTGTCCGGTGCTCGCTGTGCCCTCCCCTGCTTCCCTCTGGGTGTGCGTGGGCGGTGCCCCCCGGCCGGTGTTGATAACTGCTTTGTTTCTGATTGATCTCAGCTATCTGGGCAGTGTTGTCGAGACAAGCCTCTCCTCAGCTCAATAGGTAAGGGAGCTCCTCGGCTGGGCGGGCGGGGGCGGGCAGGCGGACGGGGCTTCGGCCGGGCCATTGCTTCCTGGACAGGGGATCCAAACCATGTCCCCTCACCGCCCCGTGGGGTGGCCGCTGCCGCTCCTCGATCCCCACGGCTTCTGGGTTCCCCACATCGAGCCACGCTCGGCACCGCCTAGCTGCAGCTTCTGCCCCCCATCCCCATGTCCAGCCCCTCTAGAGCCCCCTGCGGCTCTCCTCACTCCGACGCCTTGCCAGCCTGCTGCCAGTACACCCAGGGCCTCCCACAGAAGCCCTGGGGCCCTGCATGCACCCCGAAGGGGCCCAGAACGCCCGAGATCTGCTTTGCATCTCTGCACCCTTGGGGACCTCTGTGGGGCCCCTCTGGTATCCAGAAGAACCTCCCGCACCCTATTCTCCCAGCAGCCCCAGGCAGAGCATCCCTTCTCCTGGGGTGGTTGGCCCCTCACCAGCTTCTTGGGATCTTCGTGGTATTAGGCTCTCTCGAGGAGCACAAGGTTGGGATGAGCCCCACTTCTTCCCTGACAGTGGGGTCCTCCGCAGGGTCAGGTCCCTGCAGTCATGCTGTAGGGAAAGGGTCTTGGGAGGACCTCCCCAAGGGGAGGGGGCAGGCTTCCCCTGGGCAGACAGGCATTGAGCTGGCAAGAAGTGAAACCCCCCAGGGACCAGCACTGTGTCCCTCCCTCTGCCCCTGCAGTCGACCTCTCCTTGAGTGTCCTTCCAGGTGGAAGCCAAAGGAACTTGGGCATTCAGGGAGCCTTGAGTCCCTCACAGAGACTCAGGGCCACCCGAAGCTCGCTCCCTCTCACAGTAGCCTAACAAGGTGCTGCCTGTCGCCACGGACCCTCTGCCCTGTGCCTGGGCACACACAGGCATTGGGCACCTGCATGGGAGACAGCGAGCCTCCCGTTCAGGTGCTTCTGGCTTCCCAGGCGAGGAGACAGGTGCCTTCCCCACCTAGAGATGTCAAGGGAGGCTCATTTTCCTAACCAGGGCTATAATTCTCACTCAGTCCGAAGAGTGGCCTCCATAAAGAGGACTGCCCTGACATTTCTTTACCATCTGTAGCTATAAAATTGTCAGCAGCCCAGAGGCCCCGGAATTGTGGGTGAGGCTGTCTGGCATAGGGTGAGTGTGAGGAGGGCTGTCAGGCAGCGTTTACGAGCTCACCTGTTCCGGGGCCCTCTTGCGGCCATAGACCCATTGGTCTTCCACCTTCCCCATCTCCTTCCCTCTCCCAGCTGTGACTCCTCCATGGCCCCTGGAGGTGTGGGAGCCCTAGACTAGCTCTCACCCCAGCTCCTGGAAATTCCTAGACTCCGCTCTCATGTGTTACTTCCTCGCCCTTTCACTCAACTCCATTGACCCTCCCCTTTCCCAGTGTCCCCACTGTGCCAGATCCAAGAGAAGCCCACTCTCTTTTCACTGCTGTGGCAAACCCAGAAACCAGGGGCAGCGATGAGGGACCATCGTTTCTCTCCCGGGCCTGGCCAGCATCCCCAGCCTAGGAGAAGGAGACCCTCCCCATCCTGAGTCAGCCCCTCAGTGCTGGGCTCTCCTGCCTGCTGGGAGCCTTCCCGGTACGGCTGCTGGGCCCTGGGGAGATGCAGGCTCTGTTCAGATGCTGTCTCCATGCTGCACCTTTGCATGTGTGCCCTCTCGGTCTTGCTTGGAGAAGTTGTGACAGCTCTTGTCCACGTGCGTTCTCGCTGTTTCTTTTCCCTTCAGTTCCTCTCCTGTTCCTTTGGCCCATATGTAGTTGTTGCCCCTGCCTCTCCTCTTTTCTCTCTCCCTTTTTTTCTCCTCTTCCCAACTCCCTTCTCAACATGGGGAGTTGTATTGTGTGGACCTGTCCTTTCTGTGGACCGTGGGGAGGCTGAGCCAATTCTTAGCTCCCGTCTGAGCCTAGTGATGCCCTGTCCTCACCTCTCCTTCCACTCGCTTTCCCGTTCAGGCTGTCACTGCAGGGAGGCAGGTGGGTCTGGAGCATGGAGTGGCCCCTGTCCTGGGTCAGCCGTAGGAAGGAGCCCTTTTGGAAACAAGCCTCTGCCAGGTTGTGAGGCAGAGCACTGGTCTGAGCCTGGCCCCACAGAAGAGTTCCATCTTGCGGTCAGTGGGGTGGGTTCAGACCTCCAGACTCCTGCAGTGGGCCCACCCTTTCCCTTGCTATGGCCCATCTGTGAGTGGCTTTCCTCTGCCTCCATCAGGGTATAATCAGGCAGGTGGTGTTTGCTCTCAGATGATTAGAAGAGGAAGAAAATGCCCATCAAGCCACTGATTCAGCCTGTTGGCCAGGGAACACCTGAACGGCGTCATAATGGTCAGCTGATGGGCGCTGAGCTAAGGAAATATGCAGGGGGTTTTGACTTTCCCTGTACTGAGGCCTCCACTTTGACGTGGCTGCATCTTTCCTCAGCTCTTCTGGGTAAGCTGAGAGCTAAGCAAATAAGACCTCCTGGGCTACCTGGTCGTGATTTGGGTTGCGTATGGATTTTTTGAAAAGAGAGAAAAAGTATTGGCTGGGTGTGGTGGCTCATGCCTATAATTCTAGCACTTTGGGAAGCCAAGGAGGGCAGATCTCTTGAGTCCAGGAGATCGAGGCCAGCCTGGGCAACATAGTGAAGCCCTATCTCTACAAAAAAATACAAAAAATAGGTGGGCATAGTGGCACATGCCTATAGTCCCAGCTCCTTCGGGGGCTGAGGTGGAAAGATCATCTGAGATGGGGAGGTTGAGGCAGCAGTGAGATGAGATTGTGCCACTCCACTCCAGCCTGGGCAACAGAGACCCTGTCTCAAAAAAAAAAAAAAAGAGAAGTAAGTTCCAGGCAATTGTTGGTAGTCCTGTACTGTAAAAATCCCCTCTGTGCCAAGGCTTTGAGGCCCTCATCTTACAGTAATCCCCTGACTTCCTGGAAGAAGGGGAGCCCCGGGGTTCGTAGTATTCCTGCATGCTTTAGAACAGTATAGACTGTTTGGGAAGAGAGCTGTGACCTTAAATTCTTGGAAAGCCCAGGACTGGCTTCTGGTGTAATGGGATCATCTGTGGATCAAACTTAGATTTACCTGACAGCTGAATTCCAGGGATAGGATGGAGTTGCTTCACTGAAGCTTCCCATCTGAGACATTGGCACCAGGAGCTCCATGACCAAAGGGTCCCAGGTGGGGCTGGCATTGGCAGCAAACATGGTCACCTTTCCTAAAACAGGGAGGCAATTCGATTGCACAGGGCTTTACATGCAGTTCGTAAAGTCTGTTAGGTCACGTTCTATGCGTCTTTTCTGTACCATGTGCCAAAAATAGACTCGTTTTGCCTGCCCCGCTTCCTCCCTCCTGTTCTGCCAGACACTAGCTTTTGTTTTTTCCTCCTGCATTGGGTGAGGGTCTTGGTGTGTCCAGAGCCTTCTTTGTCCTGTGGCCATGCTTCCGTGCTGAGCCCAGAGCTAAACAGGTGGACAGCAGGTGTCCTGGAAGGGCTGGAGCTTGGCTGTTTCTCAAGGGAAAATCGGCTGCTTCTGGTTACTGGATCATTACTGTTTGGAAATTTTTGTCTGAAGATACAACTTAAGCAGGCTCCTCTACAGCCCTGGTCTGTCTTACTGGGGCTGTTCCACCAAGGCACAGAATGTCAGTGCTAGCCTCAAGTACGTTGCAAGGCATATCTATTTCTCAGGTGTGGTGGGGATGCCATGCTTTTCTTCTTTGTAGCTGCTATACCTGTGTTGATTGGGAAGACGTTGGAAGGGCAGTTGAGAGGTGAGCCTAACGTTAAGAGTCTTGGTTCTGTCCCACGATGACTGGATTATTCGACAGGTTGCTTACCTCTCTAAACTTCAGTGTCTCCGTCTGAAAAATGGGGGCATTGTAGTATTTACCTTAGGTTTTTACTCTACAGCAGTGCCTGCTGTGGTAAGTGGTAAATCAATGCTAGATAAAAATGACAACAGTGATAAGATGTGGATTCTAACCATCGTATCACCCCTGGAAGTTTCACCTGGCTTGAAGAATCCCTAACAGTTTTCAGGGCACCCTGTACCCGTTTCTCTCGTGCTCCTGCAGTCTCCCTGGATGACGTTGGAGACTACTGTTCTTGCTGGTCATGTGCCTCCCTGACCACACGTTGCTCTCCCTGTGTGGTCCTCCTGAAGAGGCCGGCCAGGAGACAGAGATCGACTGAATAGGTGGATTCACATTGACTTTCCTTGTAGGCAGCATGAAGAAGCCTCAGTCGAGGATGAGAAGGGGTGAGGATGTGCCTTCCACACTGGCAAGGTGTGCTCCCTCCCGCCCGGGCACCTGCACCCTTTGTCTGCCTTCCCGCTTCCTTCCCAGCTGCTGCTGTGCTGTAGGATCTCTCTGGGTAGACTGGCATGTTGGGTCACTTCTTCACGAGAGGGCTGTGTGTGCCTGTGTGTGCACGTAAGGGACCCTGTGTGTCCTCCTCAGCTCTGCTGTCAGGGGCTACGGAAAGTCAAGAGGTTGATCCTGACCTGAACTTTTGAGGGAGCCTTTTGAAACTCTATGGACTAAAGTACTAGAGAACGATGACATCCCCCAGGAAGATAGAGGTCACTGCATTGCCAGTGCATGCAGGAAACCCCAGAGACCAGAGGCTTATCTTCATTTAGTGTGTAAGTCTCCTCTTCCTGCCTTGCTGCCAAGATATTTGATGTTTTGGAGAAGAGGCTGCAGGTTTCCTATCCCTGTTAACATTTTTTTAAACCTCAGACCTCTTGACCTTTGGGGTCTTCTTTTGCCCTCACAGCATTGTCTGTCCTACCTCTTTTAATCAGGACTTTCTAAAAACTGTTTGCGATAGAGATAGGGGAGGGAGTTGGGGGGTCCAGGAGAAGAGCGAGGCACGCCCATCCGCCGTAGCTCCAGAGCGTCCCTGCTTCTCTGATCGCGTGCTAATGCCAGTGCTGGTGGGAAGACAGAGTGACCTGTCTCCTTCTGTTTCCCCTTCATTCCTCAGGCTCCGAGTTGGGTTACTTTGAGAAGAAATGGCATTGAGAACATGTCTTTTAGGTTTTCCTCTTTTATGACTCTTGAAAGATTCTCTCCAATATGCACCGAGTGTCACAGACTGCCTGTCCTCTCAGCTCTTCTGGCTCCCTTGTGTACCTGGGCTGCTGCACGGGTGTGGCCAGACTGTGGAACCTGTCCTAACTGTGCAGTTGATCCACCAGGCAAGTGGCAATCAGGATGCAGGAAGAGAGGCCAGTACACTTCTGTTCCAACAACCCCGTTTCTCTGTCGAATCCTAAAATACAGAGGTTCACCACGTTCTTGTTACAGACAGTAAGGGCTCTGGGAGGCTACTAGATTTGGTTGTTCTGCCGTCATCTCCTGCCACCTTCTCCTGTTTTCTTACATGGCCAAGGAGAGCTGAGCCTCGTCTGCAGAGTTGAGGAGACACTGCCCTGAAAATGTTGGTATATGACAAGAATTCGTTGCTGTAAGCTGCTGCTGTTCTGTGGGAATCTTGCAGCTGCAGGAGAAGAAGCTGGGGTCCGGGTTTCTCACTTAGCACCCCCTTTTCTGGAGATGGAGGATGGTTCACTGGGATGGGAGTTGCTTGCCCCCTGCTCTAATATGCCCTTTTACTTTCCATGCAAAGGTCTTGATTGTGGTGATTTCTAGGAACTCCAGACGTTGAGCCTACTTCTGTCTCTGACACTGAATACATCCCAGCTTGAGTTACATGGGAAGGGGCTTACTATTAAAGTCTCTCTCTCTCCCTTTGCTAGGGTCTGCTGATTGCTCTGCAGGTTGGCTTCCGTCCGAGGTGGGCCATGCTCCTGGAGCTTTCTACTGGGTTTTCTTCTTTCCAGGAGCAATAGAAAGGCGGGTATCATGGAGCCATCGTGGGCACCCTGGGCTCTGTGGGACTGAACTCTGTCCTTCTATGGGTCAGCTACTTGGCTTTCTTCCAGTCCCTCTTCCAAAGCCTCACACATCCGGGAGCTGACCTGTGGCTCTCTGGTTGTCCTTTCCAGAACACTTCCACCTGCACCCGAGAACGCTGCTGCACCTGAGAGGCTGGAGGCTCTGAAATACCAACGGATAAAGAAGCCCAAAAAGTCATCCAAGGGCTCTTCGAAGTCAAAGAAACGATCCGGTAAATGATGGGCAGAGGGCTGCCCCACTTCTCCCACCTTGCCTTGCCATTGTCAGGAGGGTGACTGGGCTCAGGGTCCCAACCCTGGGCTTTCTCTAGAATTGAATCCACAAGCTTCTCTTGTCCTTTCTTTTTTAACACTATTTTTCAAGCAATACACAAACATGATTTTAATATACAAAATGAGAAAGATAAGCAGAATCTATCTGATTGCTCTCCCAATTTGTTTCCACTCACCTGGAGAACTGTCATTTTCAGCGTATGTGCCTTCAGAACCTTTTCTGTGCCTATAGCTTCAGAAAATGTATCCTATTGTTTTAGTGTGTTTTCAAACAACACAAATAGTACAGATATATTTTTCCACTCTGCCGTTCACCTTGCACGTAACTCTTATCTCCTTACTTACTTCCCCTCTATCATTTCAGGCCTTCTAGGAAACATAGGCATGACGGGGCCCCATGTGGAGCTCAGGGTACATTGCAGCCTGGGCCCAGCCTTTGCAGGTTGGCTGCACTCTTCTCAGTGAGATCGAGTGAAGGAAGCCTCCTTACCCCACAGAGAGGGCGCCTCTATCGAAGTATGTCCGAGGTGTATCTTGCAGGGATAGGTAGCTTCTGAGTGCAGAACGAATTTAGCCCTCTTTAAGACTAGAAAATTATTTAATGTTTGTTAAAAACCCTCTTTTCATGAATGGTTTTAGGAGTGTTGTGGCAGGCTGTGAAGGAAGAATGCTGAACAGTTTCTTTACAGATCTTTGATAACTTGTACAGTAACTCTCCTTATAGATAGGATTATGGGAGAGTGTTATACAGAAATTCAGAGCCCCATGAATCTCTGGGAGACGGTGATCACTTATGATCACTTAGCCTTTGGCAGGTAATAGTATCCTCTCGGTTTACAGATGGAAATACCGTGGCAGAGAAAAAGAAAATGATGTTTTTAGGGCTTGGGTTAGAAACTGGAGCTCAAAGCTGCATTTTCAACCAATTTAAGCCCATTCTTAACCCATTTAAGACCCATCAATATATATTTTATATATATGTATAACTTATGTATTTCTTTGTTGCAAAAAAAAGTCACATCAGAGACCTGCATTCTCTCTTGTTCTGATGGCAGTGGTCCTGTTACCAGTTCTATGGTGGCATCTTCCAAATGTCTGTCTTTAGCCCAGGTCCCTTCCCTGAGGTCATGGCTCATCTTTCCAGTTGCCAGCTGAATGTGCACTTGGGTGTTTCATACGCCTTTACAATGTCTAAAGCAGAGTTATTGATCAGCCTCTCCAGGTCTGCTTCTCCTCAGGTCTTCCTCAGTTTAATCACTAGCACTGGTGCCCCCTGGGGTGTCAGGCCCTTTAATTCCCAGATTCTTCCCTTGCCTTCGCATCTCACGTCAAGCCCACTAGGTAATACCTGTTAGCTCAGCCTTTGCAGCATATCCTGAATCTGGCCACTTTCCGTTGTCTCTATTGCTAACTCTATGTTCTGAGTCACTGTCTGTCCCACCTTGACTATTGCAGTACCTTGTGACTGGTGCTCCAGCCCCATCCTTGTACCTTGCACCACGGATTCCACACACAGCCACCACAGCAAGCTGTAGGACACGTAGCAGCATCCTCTCAGTCATGAACGCACACGTGCAGGCATGCACGCGCACACACACACTTCTTAAAACCTTCCAGAAGATTCCCGTCGTAACCAGAACAGATTTCAAGCTCCTAGATGCCCTGCCTGTCTTTCTTGCCTCACTCTTTTCCAACTGAGATGACCTCCCTTCTGTACTGGGGACACACCACATTTAGCCTTAACTTGGGGCTTGCACAAATGCCATTTCTTCTGTTGGGAATAGTAATTTTTCTTCAGATCTGTAGAAGGCTCATAATTTAAGACGCAATTCAAGTGTTAACCCTTTAAGGAGCGGAGTAGTGCCTCAGTTGACTCTATTTTATCTTTGTAGTATTTTCAGTAACTGCAAATTTTATTTCTGTACTTTTAAAGTCTTGACAGTTTGTCTCTTCCTCTGCACCCTAACATGGATGCATAGTCTTTGAAGGTAGCAAAGGCACTCCTGCTTAATCTCCAGAAGGGCCATAAGACAGAGGAGAGGGCTGGGCACTCCAGGAAGGGTCAAGGCCTGACTGTTGCATGGAATTAAAATATTGTATAAAGTCAGTCATTGCTTGGGGCAGACGAGAAAGATGCCCTGAGTCCCAGCCTGTTCCTTCCTGATCCCCAGTCCCTAGAATGATGCCTAGTACTCAAGAGGCACTAAAATAAATATCTGTAGACTGATGGAGAAAGAAATGAATGAGAAAGAAAATCCTCTCCATTCCACTTTCTTAACTCCTATTCCAGTGAAGGAGCAGGGTCAGGTTGCTGGTTGCCTTAGCGGAAAAGAAAGTGGTTTCTCTGCAGCAATTCGTTCTGGTCTCTCTAGACTCAGGTGATTCCTTTGTTTCAACATTAGAATCCCGGAACATACGCAGGTGGAAAAGGTGAGCGGGCTGCGTTCTTCCTTTTCATCCGCTTGCTTTTCTTCTCTTCTGCGTCCCTCTTCCTTTCTCCCTAGACGGTTCTGCCTCCCAGGCTCAGCAGCTTCCCAACTCTCAGGTTCTGTGGCCCGATGAAGCTGTCTGCCTCCGAAAGAAGAAGAGACATTCTCGTCCTGACCCCTTTGCCCGGCTCTCAGACTTGTGCCACCGCCAGCTTCCGGAAGACCAGACAGCGATTCTCAACAGTGTGGACCACGATGACCCAGGCCATGCCACTTTGCTGTGACTCCACCCCACCCTAGGTGTCCCCGGGGCGAGGTTGCTGGGCTCAGGCAGGGAGGGCCACCGTGTGGGGGTGTGTCCTCCTCCGCCTGCCAAGGACGGCCCGGATCTTTGTCCTGCATGCCCCCTCTTTTGCCAGAGCGGGCGTCTCCCTCCAGATTCTGGCCACCTGTCTTCGGGACGGAGGGCGGGCAGACCTTCCACCTGTGGGTCGAGTTCAGGAAGTGGATTGGAGACTGGGCAACACCTGTCTCCTCCCCTCCGCCCCCTGCTTCACTCGGTTGATTTTTCTCATCTCTTCCAATGTCCTTGGAAGTGAAGAGGAAAGCACGGCTTTTACTGCTCTCTGCTTCTGTTTCAGTTTTTCAAGTCCTGGAAGAAGGCTGGACTTAATGTCCGTCTTCCACACCCCCACATATGTATAGATATAGATACAGATGCATATGTCTGTAGTGTGTGGGTTTCTCTATGTGTGTGTGTATATATATATATACATATATATGTACATCGAGGCAAAGTGCTGTTGCTCTCTGTGGTCAGTGGAGGCAGGAGGAGGCGGGCAGTGGTCAGCTGGGGTTTGCGATTAGCACTGGCTGCACATTGGCCAGGTGCTTGACATCTGTCTTGGGGGATTCTTTCTCCTGAAACAGGATCCACGCCTCTCAGCTGAATTCTCCATTTGTCTCCTACCTTCTCCCACCCAGAGTAGAAATGGGGCCTTGCTGTGATTACTGGCTGCCTTCTATGGGGGTTCAGCAATGAGTTACTGCAGAACTAAATTCAAGCCTTTATTTCTTGGTTCCTGGGTGAAGAAGGGGAGGCCAGGCACCCAGACCTGCCTCTTTCTTCCTTTCAGCGCGGCTCATGCTGCAGAAGTAGAGGCTACTCAGCCATGGGGCTAAAGCATGCCCCTGGTGCACAAATCCAGCTCATCCATCGGCACCCTTCCGCCCAGCCAGGCCACGAGCTCTGTGGCCAAAGGCTCCCCCACCGCAGAGCCACCTGTGCTAGCGCCAAGCTGCCGGCTCTATTTATACCGTCTCCGGCTCAGCACTCTGCAGTGCTGTTCCACAGCGGCTGATTGGATCCTCCTTTCCTTTTGTGGGAGCTAATTCTCCAGATTGATTAATTACCACTTGTGCGGAGCCGCCTGTGGCTTTCCCATACTCACCATGTGCTGCCTGCCGACTCTTCTCTGCCTTGGGGCCTTGCTCCTCCCATGGACCTGAGCTCCAGGAGGATGGGCTCAGGTGAAGCTAGGGCGCCTCCGGCTGCTGGGGCCTGGGACGCTCTGGATCCCGCCCGCTTTGCCCAGTATCTATTCTGTGGCTGAGGCATAGGAATGAAGGCGGGAGGGGTGGTGAGTAGGGTCTGGGCACTGACTCTTCCTCTGCCAAAGTCTTGTCCTGGTTCAAACTCTTAGCATCCAGAAGCTTCATGAGGTCATCTTCCCACTAAGATGTCTCTCTGCCCGTAAGACATGGTGCTGCCCAAGGACAGGGCAGAAGGCCCCGAGGGCGGGCTGGAGGGCAGATGTGCCCTTCCCCACTCTGTGCAGGAGCCCCGCTTCTGGCTTGGCTTAGAATGAAGGTTCCTTGAAGTATTTCCTTCTTGGTGCTGCTGTCTTGGTGGGTTTGGGGGCGCCCACCTCTCCCGAGTCCCCTGCTCGGATGTGAGCCATGGCAGCACTGGACGGCTTCTGCTGGTCTCATGCAGCTGCCATGGGCTTGGCCCAGTGACCTCGCAGGATGAGGCCTTGGATGGCTGCTGTCTCTTCTTGGCATTTCCATCTTAGGGGATGGACCTCTTCTCTGCCACACAGGCCCTGGTCCTTCCTTTCACCCAGGGAGCTGAGGACCAGCTCCACCCTTGAGGTTTACTGTGCTAGTCACACCACCGCAGTTCCTTTCTGAACACATCTGAAGGGGTCGTGGTGGGAGAGGCACAAAGGGGCTTCTGAGACTAGGCCGGGCACCCTTGGGGTGGAACCTGGGCCTTCCGGTTGATGTGCTTCTCTGGGGCATTGGAATCCACTTGACCACTGAGCAACAGCTCTGCAAGGTGGAAGAGCACACAACTCTTCGGGTTCTTTTTTCCAGGTAGCACACCCTCTGCCCCCGTGCTGTGACATGCTGCTCACTCGGGCGTCTCTCCTGGGGGATGATGGGAGCCAGCTTACCTGAGGTGTTGGGGTGGGAGGTGGTGGCTCACCGCGAGCTGACATGCAGCCTTTGTACAGTGTGGGGTTTCTCTCCCAGAGGAGCTCAGGGGGCTCAGCCAGGCCCTGGGATGCACTGGGATGTGGGCATCAGGCTGTCAGCCTTCAGGATGAATTTGGCCAACTTTTCTGAGCAGCATCCTGAGAATTCCAGCCCTCAGTTTAGAAAAGAAGAGGAGATGATGAGGTAGAAAGCTTTGCTTCTTTTGGATGTCATGAGAGGCTGAGATGCCCAGGCTGTGGCTGTGCCTTCCAGGGCACCCCCGTGCTAACCAAGGTGCTGACTCCTTCTCTGCTTTCCTCTGGCAGTGCCCATGACCTCAGCACATAGACCCAACGTGGGGAGCCGTGCTTTTTGCTGGTCACTGAGTGGCCGCTGTGCTGTGGCTTCCCTGGCTAGGGCAAGGACGTCAGGTCTACCCATCTCTCAGTGGCCTGCCACTCAGCTCCCATGAGGGCTTCCTCCTGTGACAGTGTCCTCGGAGGTCAGCAGCCCTCCTGCACCCTGTGGACAGCAATGGAAATTGGTGGAACACCCTCTCTCCATGGGATAGAGGGTGAAGATGTCACAGGCACAAGCTTAGGTGCTGGGTGTGGGCGTGTGTGACAGCGTGGTTGTGAACATGTGCGTGATGGAGCTATAGCCACCTCTAGGGACCAGTGTCCTTCATAGTCTGCTGTTGAACAATGGCAGTGACTACTGACCAGCTTCTTAGGACTTCTGCGCTCACTCTGTGGGAGATCACGCTTTCCAAACTTCCCCTTTTACCGTCTGGCAGCCTTGCAGTAGACACGGCTCAGATGCAAACCTGCTCCTGTGTCTCAGATGTCTGTCTGCCTCTTCAGGATTGTGGCTGAGAACGGTGGCTATTGCAGTGTCAGGTGACTCACAGACGAGGTAGAGGGTGAAATGGTTCTTAGTGGGGCCTGGACGACTGCATTTGCGTGGGGAGAGAAGATGTACGACGAGGCAGAGAGGCGAAGCCTGTCTCAATTTGCTGGTGGGCTGCCGTGGGCTCCCTAGTGCTGAGCGGGGTCCTGTGCTGGATTATTGGGGTGGCTCTGGGCCCAGCATCCCAGAGTGGCCCTGCCTGCAGCCAGCCTGCCTCTAAGCAGCTTCCCCCGAGAGACTGGGGGTAGGACGAGCCTTTTGAGATTCTACTTTCTTAGCAGGAAGGATGCCTTTTTCCCAGTGGGCTGACAGGGCCTGTGCCCTCCTTTGAGGTGGCCTAGTCCCACAGCCATGCGCTTGGGGGAAGACTGAAGCCGGGTGGATTGAGCCGAGTATTTCTTGATATTTTTCCTTGCTCTCTGTGTTTATTTTTGATTTGTGATCTAAAATATTTGGGGTTGAACTGATTTAATTTATTCCTCTGCCCTTTTTGTGCTGAGGAAACTGGGGTGAGGTTCAAATGTGAAATTTTCTGATTTTATTTGGGGTGGGGGACAAGGTTGACAAAACAGTAGCTTCCGGGGAGAAACAGATTTCACGGCGCCTCCGGCATCTTTGGCACTGCCCACGATCCAAATCTCCAGGGCTGAAGACTGCGTGGCTGGAATCTGTTTCTTCCCATTTTGTTAGCAAAAGCCTTTTCCAGGCTTGGGGGTGGGGTGGGGGAAGAATTGTACATAAAGTACATTTTATTAATATGTAGAGAAACCTAGGAAAAGAAAAGCTAATGGTTAATCTTGGGCTTGCTTTGCTTGCATGTAAAGGAGCTTTGAGGGCACTGCAGGGATGGCTGGGGAGCTGCAGGAAGGGGCAGAGGGTGGAGCCGAGTGGGTCGTGGAAGGCCCCGTGAGTCCAGCCTCTGCAGCACTCTAGGAGCTGTGCACATTCCCACCGGGGCTTCTAACCCAGCCCTGCCTGGGTATCTTCTTCAGATAAAGTGGATCTGGTAGGCAGTGTGTAGAGCCCCATGTGGCTGTGTGTGTGGCTTTGGGGAGAGGGCCAAAGAGGTATCTTATTGGCCAGATCTAGGTTGACTAGGGTAATGAATGGGGCAGTGGTGTTTCAGGACGGGGAGTTGAAGAACTGGAGGGTGGAGGGGAGACCTATGTGTTTGCCAGGTGTTGGTGAGGCTGGAAGGGGCACAGAGGGTGAGGTCAGGCATGGGTTAGGATGGTGAGACCACCCCAGGGGACATCAAGCCTCAGCATCTCTTTGAGTCATGTGATAACTTAGTCACTTGTAAGGGTGCAGGGTACACACTGGAGGATCATCTCAAGATGATGAAGAATGATTGACTGGTGGGAGTCTGGCTGGGGAGTGGTGGCCGTGCAGGGCCTGTGGGAGGGGGATCTAGGCATCGGGGACAGATTGTGGGGTGGGGTCCTGCATGTGGACCCAGACTGGATCTTGGGAGAGGTTTTCCTTCTTAGCTAGACCTTCCTTGCTTCTTCTAGAATTAGCCTCTAACACTAAGTGCCCAAACCAAACGTGGACATCTTTATATCGTATTTCAACTTCATTTGTTTTTGGGGGCTCCTCAGGCCCAAAGCTGAGAGACTTGTCTTGAGATGCCCATCCTATCACCAGCTCTTCATCAGTGGAGAAGGAAGCGCCATTCTCGCGAGCATCACATGTTTATTTTCCTAAGTGCAGTGGTGGGTTGCCTCTCCGTCCACACAATCTGAAAATGTTCATGGGCCTTGGTGATGGTGATGGTGATAGAGAGGAGGAGCTGGAGCCTGATGTGCCTTCATCCTGCTTTCCTCTTGAGGTATAGAGGCTTCCTTCAGGCCATGACATTGCACAGTGGCTTCGTGAGGCCTTCTCTTTACTTTCTCTTCTTTTGATAGGCTAAAGTCACTAGTCTGTGGTGGTGGGAGGGCAAAAGAGTTTCATCTGAAACTCTTGGCTTGACCAGCCATTCTTCTCTCTTTAATGTCTCCAGCTCTGCTTCTTTTTAGATTAAGAGGCAGAATTAAAAATCTCTTCTTTAGAAGAAGTCAGTAAACCAAGGATCAAAGCCCAGATTGGACTTTTTGCACTCTTACCAGCTAGCTGTTTGGCTAGGGGGACCCATCGCCACCCTTCCCTCAGACCGCGAGTGAATCCACACTGGCCCAGAGCCTTATTTCTGGGTTTCTGTCTGTACTCTCAAAACCTTCTTTTAGGAGCAAGTATAATAACCCACCAGATGTTCTGTGTGTTGGGTTGCTGAGAAGGTGGAAGTTTTCTCCAACCTCATTTTAAGCTGTTAGAAAAACACTCAGTAGATTGAATTTGGTCCAAAGACACCACCATCCCCTGAGGGATCCCGTGTAGGATAAGGACAAATGAAGCGTCCATACAGGGGTCATTAATGGCTGCTCACATCTTAGAGAAGGAAGAGTCCGGGTATCTTGGTTGCCATATACTTTGGTGGAACAGTGGCCAGTCATTAAAATCACATGAGTGTTGGCTTCTGCGGCGTAGAAGACAGTAGTAGTAGTTAGGGTTTCAGACGAGAGCTGGTGAAAAGCTACCGGCTTTGGAGCCCTGGCTGGAAGAGCTAGATTGGACAGCTTTAGCCCCATGGCTCAAATGCTCAGCTCCTGTCCCTGGTCCTTGGTTGTCACCACGCCCATCGCACTAGATGGGGACGTGAATGGCTGCCTGGGCCTGCCTTTCTTTCGGGTCTTGAAGAAATGTGCTCCACCAATCCTACCTCTCTGTGGCACTGGACTTCCTGGATTTATTTTGGGAACTAGGGCAGACTCTCCCTCGCCACCCCATATACACACTAGTTAGCTTCCCTTCCCTTCTTTTCCCTTCCCCACTTCTGTGTGGCTCCAGAGATCTTGGACATGTGCATGGTTTACGATGGGGAGGTGGTGGGAGGGGCAGGGAATCCTGGAGGGCAGGGGGTTGGGCCGGGGAGGGGGATTTGCATTTTCGGCCTCAGAAATGCTGTGGGCATGCTTTTGGGCCACGTGTGGGGTTTTCACTTGAGCCATGGAAGGGGCGAATGCCCAGCCCTCCTCACGCTGGTGGTGGAACCTAGGGCTTTGGCGTCCTTTTGGCATAGGGGTCTATGAAGCTATATTTCTGGTGGAGGGGTTGGACCTCCTCACGGTCATCTTGCAGTTCTTGAAAGGGTAGTTGTCAGCCACTCTATCAGTGAGGATTTATATGGCCTCCCATGAACGAGAGGTGTGCCATGGCCGATGGTGTCCTGGCGGGGTTGGAGAAAGGGGATCATCTCGTGTCCCTCTGCAGGCACCAGGTTGTTCCCCTGGTCTCTAACCCCAGCCAACTGTCTAGTCCAGTGTTTTTTTTCTGGATTCAGGAAGTAAGTGGGGGTGTATGTGTGTGTGTGTGGTGTGGTATGTGTGTGGTGTGTGTGGTATGTGTGTGGTGTGTGTGATATGTGTGTGGTGTGTGTGATATGTGTGTGGTGTGTGGGGTATGTGTGAGGTGTGCATGTCTGATGTGCGTGTGTGTGGTGTGTCTGTGTGGTGTGTGTATTGTGTGTGGTGTATGTATTGTGTGTGGTGTGTGTGTCTCTGTGTGGTATGTGTTGTGTGTATTGTGTGGTGTGTGTGTATTGTGTGTGGTTGTGTGTGTGTGTGGAGTGTGGGGTGTGGTATGGTGTGTCTGTGATGTGCGTGTATGTGATGCAGTGTCTGGTGTGCATGTGTGTGATGCAGTGTGTGTGGTGTGTATGTGTGTGGTGTGTGGTTTGGTGTATGTGTTGTGTTGCGTGTGGTGTGCATGTGTGTGTGTGGTGTGGTGTGTCGTGTGGTGTCTGTGTGTGTTGCATGTGTGGTGTGTCTGTGGTGTGTTTAGTGTGCGTGTACTGTGTGTGGTGTGTGTGTGGTGTGTGTGTGTGGTATGTGTTGTATGTATTGTGTGTGGTGTGTTATTGTGTATAGCTGTGTGTGTGGGGTGTGGTGTGTGGTATGGTGTGTGTATGTGGTGTGCATGTGTGTGTGTGTGATGTCTGGTGTGCGTGTGTGTGATGTGTCTTTGTGTGGTGTGTGTGTGTTGTGCATGGTGTGTGTGTTGTGTGTGTTGTGTGTGGTGTGTGTGGTGTGTGTGTGGTGTGTTGTGTGTGTGGTGTGTGTGTGGTGTGTTGTGTGGTGTGTGTGGTGTGTGTTGTATGTGTGTGTGTTGTGTGTGTGGTGTGTGTGTTGTGTGTGTGGTGTGTGTGTTGTGTGTGTGGTGTGTCTGAGAGAGATTTGTACAGACATGCTGATTTGCCTGCGTAGCGTCAGGCCCAGGAGACCCTCCTTTGGTTGGCTCCTTTCTAGACAACTTCTGTTTGGGTAGGAGGGTCAAATTAGTAATGCACCATCTTTAATGTATTTTTTATGGAGACTGTACATAAAATTATATAAATCTCTAGAATTGGTTCTATTTTAAGGAGAGAGGGGAATGTATGTGGGGGGCAAGGATCAGATGCAATTGTGGAAAGTGGGAGCTTCGGGCGAGTGGTACTCATGGGGTATGGGGAGCGGGAGGGCAAGAGATGAGTGCCAGGCAAGATGCACAGGGGCCCGTGCCCTCTGCGCACGTAGATAAATATGAAGAAAACGTAGATAAAGTCTATCTATATAGCTCTATATCTATATGAAGTCATAGTTTGCTTTATTTTTGTACCTGTGCTTAGAGATGTTTTCAGCAGTGCTACCTTCCCAGGCAGTCTGGGATACTAGCTCATGCCTTGATGCCACCTCCTTCCCTGCCCTTCCTTTGGTATTCTCTCTGTTCAGAGTTTCTTGGGTCTTTCTGATGGAAATGTATATATATATATGAAAAGTTTGTAAAATAACAAAACAAATAACCCACCTGCAGGAAGGACAAGTGAGCTGAAGGTTGTGTGGAGCTGCAGGATCTGATAGCCCTAAAGAACCAGGACCCACACGTCTTTTGCCACTTGGGAGGGATGTTGACTTGAACTTCTTTGCAGAGGTGCTTAACAGGGCAAGGCTGAGGAGATGAGAACTGTGACTGGATCCCCCTGTGGCTGCGGGAAGGTACGCAGTTCCTCAGAGAGAATCCGGCTTCGCAGCATTAGAAAGGGGGTGGTTGAGACTACCTAGGGACCTACGGTGACACCTGTCTTGGTTTGTAGGACTGTAGCTCAGACAGCTCAGACAGCCCCTAGAGGGCATGGCGATGGGAGAGTTTGTGAGGCTGGCTGTGTGGGCTTGGTCTTGGAGAACACATGGCCTGTTTAGTGTCACTGCAGATTCTTAGAGCCAGTGTGAATGTGATATGTAGTATAAATATGTCATCTATGTTTTTTTCAGTGATTTTTAATTGGAAAATAAAGTGCCATTGCAAATGGGATGGTCCAATCCTGGGACACTGAGTGGAGGATGGGGAGTGAGAGATTAACTTTGGGCAGGATTGGGAGAATAGGTCTTAGTGGAACCTTCCTTCTGGCCTCCAGCCGGGGACTTAGAAAACTGAACAATGTATTGGTAGAACTGGACCCACAGCGGGAGATTCTGGAGAGCAGGAGTTCACTTGTATCTGAGCAGGAAGCAGTGTGCCCTGAAGAATACCTCTTTGAGCAAATTCCAGACCTCACACACATGCAGGGGCCCTGCCTTGCAGCCTCAGCAAGCGTCTCCTGGGTGCTAGCTCCTTCCTGACTTGCCCGGAGCTCAGAGTGCTGTGTTTGAAGCCGGTGCTGGGCCAGATGGTGCAGGCAGCGAGGAGAGACTCAGGACTGCAACTTTTCGGCTCCTTATTCCTGCTCATCACTCAGAAAAGGGCAGTACTAACACCTTTCCTAACCAAGACGTGGCACTCCCTAAGAGCTCTTGTCTATAGAGTTCGGTCCCTAGAGGAAAGCAGATGCCTTCACTGTGCGAAGGGCTTGGTTGACAGTTTTGGTGTATTATGGGAAGAGTAGGTTCGGGTGAAGCTTGAGTCTAACTCTTGATCCTCACATGGACCTATGAGGCCCTGCCATTCAGTCAGGCACTGTCCTTGGGTCCTTAGATTAACTGCTGAGAACACTTCCCACTTTCCGAGGATGCTGAGGGGAAATGGGCTGTGTCCACACAGCCGGAAGGGCCCAGTGCTGGCGCCACTCGCAGTGTGTCCATCCTTGCCTTGACTGATCTTTCTTCCAGCCTCCTGCAGCTGAGTATTATCTTGTAAGATTTTTCAGGGGGCTTGGGCAAGAAGAAGAGCTGCAAATTCTGTTCCCTTCCCACCTTGAAGCCTTCCCAGGCCACCACGGTCTCTGCACGAGGGAGGCTTCCATCACCGTTCTTTTGGCTCCTAGACCCACCATCCCCTCTGTTTCCGTGGACTCTGCCCGACTTCTGGGCCACATGCCACCAGCAGAGTAAATCGCTCCAGCACCACGGGCACGTCCTAGGGCTCACCCTCCCACCACGGCCAGCCCAAGGTCCTCAGCAGCATCAAGGTCTGGGAGAGCCACTGGTCCGCATGTCACCATTCCATTCCTCAGCCTCCAACTGGACTCTTTGTTTTGGGGAGGGAAAGGGAAGATGGGGCTATGTACCTTGAAATTGTACAGTGTGGAGGGGATGTTAGTGCCTCCCTGTGACCTTTCTGCTCCACTGCTTAGCAAGATGAGGTAAGGGTGGGTGTCAGAGGGGACTTCCAGCTTCTCTGAAGAGCCAGCCCTTAAGGCACTTGGAGCAAAGGGCATTGAGATCAGCTTTATGTGGAGTAAGGAGGAGGCCTGGGAACCGCTTGTGGCATCAGTTGGTGCGACAGGTGGATGAGTGTGCTGTGATGGGGCCTCTACGGCCCACAGCCACTGCCAGGAGCCTGAGCTCTTCCCCATGCTTGGGACACATTCCTTAGTCCCCGCAGCAGAATGGACATTGAATTTTGGTGCTTTTCCCTTTTGGTAGAAGGTGGGGGTATCTGAGGAGTTGTTTCTGTCTTGCTACCTCTGTCTGCTGTACAGAGCAAGAGTTGGGAATAGGGAGATCTGTGAGAACCGCCCTCCCATGGATCAGTGTGGGCCCTGTCCCTCTTCCCCATTGTCACCAACCAACAGCTTGGGGAAGAGGCCTTGTCTTGGATTTTTGCTGCGCGCTGCCACTCCTCTTTGTGGTAGATGTTCGTATCAACCCACTTTGAGCAGTTTGAAAGTAGGAGGCGGGGGAAGAAGCAAGCCTGCAGAGCACACTTCCTGTCCGTAGGGGGCTGACTGTGGCATTGGAGGGTGGGGTCGCAGAGTCTGGGGACCAGGAGGAAGGTACTTGATGGGATAGTCTTGATTCTGGAACTTTAGACTGAGGTGTTAGAAAGGGGAATTGTTGGCTAGGGGAGAACAGCAGTTTAACGCTCCACTTGCTAAGTTGTATACATCAGTGTCAAAAGGTCTTGACCTCCCATTCAGATTTAATTTCCTAACTGCCATTTGTGGGGCTAGGGATAGAGGGCCCGGAAGGGGGCGCTGTCACCAGTTGCTGCTGCTTTTCTGCAGCCACTGACGTGAAGGGACCACATCCTGCTTCATGTCAGCGACTCCTGCCCCTTGGTCTTCAGTTTTTTCTCTTCCCAGGAGGGACTTTGATCATGCGGGATAGAATTCTCCCATCGCACACTTGGAGGCAAGTTTTAGATGAGCTTCTTTCCTCCATTTCACCTGGTGGTCTGTGGACACACAGAGGGTGGAGGTGAGCAGGCAGTGTGGGTGGGGAGGGGCTCCTGATGCTACCTCCCCCAGATCCCTTACAAACTCTGTACCTCTCGGTGCGTGGCAGCCTCTTGCTGTAGTTCTTCTTTTCTGGATATGACTGTCAGTTTCGTCATGAGATTTCTTGCTCTCATTTCGAACTCTTTCTTCCACTTTCTTTGGGGGTGACCCCCGATCCATGCCAGGTCTTCCTGTGAAGACCACTCCAACCTCGTTTCCATTTCTTGAATGTTGAGTATTACAACATCACTGCGCTAGGGTGCTTCATGGTGCTGTTCTTGAAGAGGCCAGTTGGGCTGAATCTCCCTCCTCCCACTGGCTCCTGATATCTTGCTGTATTTTGTCTTCTTTCTGATTTTTCCCTCGGGGTTTGGGGTGGGTGACTTAGGGGCGGCTTTTGTGTTCTCCCTCTCTCTCTCTCTCTCTCTTTTCTGTATGTATGTATGGACTGGCTAAAGTGAGTTTGGGCAGCTGACTTTATGGTATGGGTTGGCTGACTTTTGTTCAATATTAAAGACAAACCAACAAATTGTACAGCTGCACACAGAACACCCTCGAGTGTGAACTTGAATGGCAACTAGAGGCTTACTTTTTGAACTTCAGGTATGTAACTCAAAAGTAAATAAAAACACTATTTTTTCAGTAAGCTTTTTTTTTTTTCTTCTAAAAGATGACTTAGAAATCAAACTATAAGAACATGAAATCGGTGCTGTACCAAAGCCTTATATGAACATATTCTACACTCTGTATAACCTGTGAGGAGCTCCCTGCTCTATCACCCTCTTCTCAAAAGCCTGGGAATGCCAGCGCGTGCCAAGCCTGGGGCTGGGTCTTGGGAACCTGTGGGCCAAGGGTACCCTGGGAAGCAAAAGATGATGGTGAGAATGGGACACCCTTCTGCTGCCTGAGCAGACTGCAAGGAAACCCGATGTGTGTGTGTGTGTGTATGTGATGGTGAGGATGGGACACCCTTCTGCTGCCTGAGCGGACTGCAAGGAAACCCGATGTGTGTGTGTGTGGGTGTGTGCGCGCACGCGCACGCGTACCTGCATATATATGTGTGCGTACCTGTGTGTGTGTGTGCGCGTGCGTGTACCTGCATATATGTGTGTGTGTACCTGTGTGTGCATGTGTGTGTGCACGTGAGAGTGAGAGCGAGAGAGCTCACAGGTGATCAATGCCAAAGTGAATGCACTAAGTACGAGCTTGAAGGGAGACCCGGTTGGCTCTGGGAGCGGGGCGGTGTAGGAATGAAGGGGGACACTCTCTCCCCTGTTTCCTGCCTCCTTCCCTTCTTCTCCATCAGGGAGGGGAGGTGTGTTGGAAACAGCTACACTCTCAATCAGGTGCTTTTTTTTCCCTCAAAATCTCCAAACTCAAAGCACTTATAAGGGGCCCTTCCTAGGGGCAGGCACCCCCAGCCACCAAATCACAGATTTCCAAGAGTGGGAGGAGCTTTCTTCTCCCCAACCATTCCTTGGTTTCCTGGGGAAGAGGGTTCTTCCTGCAGGGCCCCCGGGCATCCTGCTCCTGGGCCTGGGCCTATAGACTGCCCTGCCCCTTCTTCCCAAACCACTGAGAAGACCCCACTGGAGATGACCCCAAAGCCATGCCTGCTCCACAGCCCTAAGCAATAATGCCTGCCCTGGCTACTGATGACGGTGATCCCTTTGGCCTTTGACTTGCCAGTTAAAAATGGAGTGACACCCCAGACTCAATTAGGAAGAGAACCTGCAGCCTGCCTCAGCTCAGGCTACCACGCCAGGCTCCACTCGCTGGTATTTTCAGGCTTGCTAAGTACTAACCAACTCATCCCCAGTAACACTGCATGTTCATATCCTGAATTAAAAAGCAAAATGAGCAAACAAGTGCATAAGCAAACGAGAAAAAAGAAGGCACATCAAATGACGAGATGTGCAGCCAGTGAAGGTACCCCGGGAGTGTTGCAAGTTAAACTGATGGAAAGATGTTTAGTATTTAATTGCTCCTCATGTAACATTACTCTGCTTCAGAAATGTTTTGTATTTTGATATAAATAAACATTTGCTAAAAAAAAGTTCATTTTCTAATTTTTTTTTTTGTACCTAGGGAGTACTTCCTGATGTTGTCTCACCCCTGGCCCTAGGTCTCCCTAATCAACCCACTTTAAACTCACGACTCAACATGATTCTGAAAGGATTTGCGGCTGGGAGATGAAGAGGTTGTCTTTCGTTCATTGAACACACGTGTACTGAGGGTATACTGTGTGTGAGTCACTGTTCAATTCACTTGGGGTGCACGAGTGAACAGACCAGACAAGGCTTCTGCTCCTGGAGGGCTTTTATTCTGGTGGTAGGGAGAGAGAATGAGTGGTTATTGCACTGAGAAAAATGACATCAAATGACCTAAGGCAAAAAAAAAAAAAAAAGGAGCAGGGTAAGGGGCTGCTGATGTACAGAAGGAGGGAAGGGCTGCGGTTTAGAACACTATTTTAGAGTGCTCAGAGAGGGCCTCGGGGGGAGGCAGCCCTGGAGCAAAGGCAAAAAGGGAGTAGCTTGTCTGGTGAATGCACACAGATGTCTCTTTTACTTTGTAGGCTTTTTACGCTGGCTCTTCAATTATGCGATTAAGGTAATTTTTTGGTTGGACTCCATCTTTGTCTAAATGACCCCCCAGCCAGCAGCTCCTGCTGGCCCTCAGCAAAATCTCATGCAAGCATCAGGGGTGTGATGGCCCCTCTGTCTCTGCCTTTCTTTTCCCCGAGAGGGAGGGATGGTCAGGCTTCAGCATCTCACTCTGTCTCCCCCAGGGTTGAGTTTGGGGACTTGACTTCCTGCCCTGGCCTGTCCTTGTCCTCGTCCTCCCCTTCTCATGCTGGATGTAGGCAATGCTCCCCTTGTTCCCTAGCAACACCTACTAGGCTGCCTTCTCATTTTATTTGGGATTTAGGTAGAGATCGGATGCCAAAATATGATACTCCTCTTTATGCCAACGAAGAGAAGAAAACAGCCAAATGAACAAACCAGCAAACAGACAGAAATAGGCCCATCTATACATTAAAAAACCTAACAGCTGTGAGATGGGCCGTTCCACCAGACGGGCCCTGTGTCCACACAGCTTTCCTCTTCCTCAGTGATCTGCCTCTATTCTCTTTCCTCTCTAGTTTCCATTCGCTCTTTCCTCTGCCCTCCCCTGCTCTTAGCAGGCGATGATGAAAATCTTTTTGATGTCTCTTCTATATTTGGTCTTAATTTGTAAAAGCAGATGCATGGAGTGTCTTGCAGTCTCTTTCTTATGCATAGGTGAACGTGGCCAAAGTTGCCAACCCCATCCTGTGAGAGCCGGCTCTCGGCTCATCCACGAGGCTGTGCGCAGTGCAGTACTGCACTCCCAGCATGTCATCGGCGTTCCATGGGAGCAGCTGGCTGACCTCACAGTCCTTCTGTAACATTCGCAGGCTCTCTGGCAAAGCTAAATTTAAAAAAAAGCGAGAAAAAAATAATTTTGGTCGGGAGGACTGTCTCTGTTAAATTTAAGAGACTTTCGCCTCTTTTTAAGATGGGGCCTAAATTCGTGTGCTGCATACTTGAAGAAATCCTTTCATTTTTATTTCATTTGATGCTCACGATAACCTCACAGGTTTAGTAAAATAGGTAAAAAGTGATTTATCTCTTTTTTGGTCAGAACCAATGAATGAGCCAATTGACGGCCCTTCACTTCTCCTTCGCTTCCAGTCTCTGCCTCCCTCTCTCCCTTCGTCCTTTCCTCCCCTCATCACTTCTCAAAGGCTTTAAGGCAGCGGGAAGTAGAAAATAAAAATGAGGCCCAGGACTTTCTCCCTTAGGCCTCCTTTCAGGTGAACATGACGCAGTCCCAGGACACCCATGTTCCCAAAGTGAGGTCATGTAGCGCCTTGAGTCTAGGAAACGGCACTTGGGAACCCTGCTGAGCAATGCCAGGACTTTTGTTAGTGGAAGTTTGGGTGAATGATGGTGCCAGAGAAAGGTTAGGGGAGACCAGGTGACAGCAAACTTTCTGGGCTTTGTACACCTCGAGACCATGCTGATTTCAGGGCCGAGGCTCTGCTGTTAGGTTTTGGGGAGAGACTGGGCTGGTCCTGGGGTACTCAGGGGTCTACATCATCATGCAGATGGTGTGCTGTAGGTAAACCAGCCAGAGTCTCCTGTGCCCCCAGCTTCCCTTTTTGGGCTGTTTTCCCCATTTCCATGGAACCCTTTTCTCTGTGGTCAGGGGCCTAGGAGCCCTCTGTCTACAAACCTAGTGTTGAAGAAGAATTGCATGATGCCTTGGTTTATCAGTCGAGAGAGGTGGGCAGCACCCTGCAATTCCCATACTAGACTGATCGCTGCTTTCGAGAAGCTGCTTTTGCCTGTGCTCCTCAGCCTTGGTGGAGAAACTGTCTGCATTCACAGTGGCTTGCCTTCACCCCCTACCCCTGGAAAAAGTCCTTGTCCTGCCTGTGCCATTAAGAAAGGGGTGACTGGTCGGGCGCGGTGGCTCATGCCTGTAATCCCAGCATTTTGGGAGGCCGAGGCGGGTGGATCATGAGGTCAGAAGATCGAGACCATCCTGGCCAACACAGTGAAATCTCGTCTCTACTGAAAAATAAATTACAAAAAATTAGCCAGGCATGGTGGCGGATGCCTGTAGTCCCAGCTACTCGGGAGGCTGAAACAGAATGGCGTGAACCTGGGAGGCGGAGCTTGCAGTGAGCCTAGATGGAGCCACTGCACTCGAGCCTGGGCGACAGAGTGAGACTCTGTCTAAAAAAAAAAAAAAAAAAAGGTCAGGGGGCAGACCTTGGAGAAATCCCTTGGCCTTTCTGAGAAAAAAAAAAAAAAAAGGGAGCCAGCCTTTCTTGGCAGGAGACCACACGTTCTTCGTGTAAAAAAAAAAAAAAAATATGCCTGTCCAGCTCTTCGGGGACTGCCTTGGCAGCACAGGCTGAGTGCAGGGGTCTGCAGCTCGGTGGCATCCTCCAAGGAGAAATGCCACTTTCTCCTTAAAAAAAAAAAAAAAATCTCTATGCCAGATTATTATGGAGCATTATCTCACTTGGTTTTAAAAAAAAAAAAAAAACTTTCCACTTACATAAGGAGGCGGAGGGAAACGCCTCTTAGCAAAAAAAAAAAAAAAAAAGAAGGCCAGTGACTGGACTTCAACCTTCCCTTTCATCTCCTTCCTGCTGCCATCCTGGTGTGCTGCTAGAGCCAGCTGTGCCGCCTCTTGTTCAGCTGTGCAAAAAAAAAAAAAAAATGTGTGACAGGGTAGGGTGCTTAGCTCCTGTGTGTTCTCAGTTAAAAAAAAAAAAAAAAAAATGGCAACAGGAAGTATCCCTTCACACCTGAGGCCCCTTCATCCTATCATAGTTGTGGGCCTTCGCAGCGGCAGCTCCTTGACCTAAATAAAGCCTTTCAAAAAAAAAAAAAAAAATGGCTCCTTGTGTGTCTGCCTCACTAGTGTGGAAGCCCCTTGGAAAAAAAAAAAAAAAAAGTCCTGTTTGCTGTTGGAGCCTGAATGCCTACCACAAAAGAGAGACTTAATGTTTATGGACAGAACGAATGACTGGTCAGAAAAATGCCTATGATATTTGGAAAAAAAAAAAAAAAAGGTTGTTGGTACCCTTGGGAGAGCACCTTCAGTGGTGTGATGGGAGCAGTGGCCAGTGGGGAGCTCACTGAGTGGGGACAGAGCCACTGGGGACTGTTATGCAGACAACACTTCAGACACCAAGTGCTTTAAACTACAGTGTATTAACAGGGTATTTGAGGAAAAAAAAAAAAAAAACATCAGAAGGCAATTGTCACTGAAAGACAGTTTGTTACAGTTCCTGAGAGGAAGCAGCACACCACGCCACACCACGGGGCCACTTGGGGAAGCACCGGAGTCGGCCGGGAGACAGAGGACCCGGGAGCTGTGGGTGGGGGTCTTCACTGGGGTCTTCACTGAAAAAAAAAAAAAAAAGAATGGGCGAAGCAGGGTGAGTGGGCTCAGGATTGTCTAGCTTCAATAGTGGTAGCGGGCTCTGGGGCACTGGTACCCTAGGTGTCTACTGCCTGGCCCTGGAAAAAAAAAAAAAAAATCTAAGACCCTCGCAGGAGGTTGTGGGATGTGGGCTCTGGATTAAAAAAAAAAAAAAAAAAAAGGGCATTTTGGGGTGAGTTAATGTCTCTAGCAATTGGCTAATCCTGGAAGGGGCAGTCCCTCCAGGGTCAGCAAGGCCTCAGATGTCAAAGCACCAGAAGACAGTTCATATACCACATCGCAACAGGGGAGAGAAAGGGGATGGCAGCTAGCAGAGTGTGGTCACAGGTGGGCATTGCCTGAGTTTTAGCTGGAAGGGATTAAAGCATGCTTCCATAAAAAAAAAAAAAAAAAACAGAAGAGACCAAAGATACCAGAGGGAAAGGCACTCAGGAAAGGAACAAGGTCCTTGATAGAGAGCAGGGAGGAGCAGGACTGGCCTGCAGGGGAAGGTGCTGGGCAGCCAGGGGCCAGGAGGGCGCTCTCCTGCCGTAGCCTGCATTTCTCAGGAAGTGAGAAGCAGGGTATCAGCTGGAAGGCAGAGGGGCCGTGGGGGTGGCGGAGGAAACCTGCAGAGAAGCAAGCCTGCTGGGGAAGTGCTGAGGATCACTGGCTGTGCAGAGTCAGTATGGAAAAAAAAAAAAAAAATGTGCGGTGGTTTATCCCGAGTCGTGGATTTTCTAGGAAAGTAAAAAAAAAAAAAAAAAACAAGGTAGTCGAGGGAGAGGGTGAAATAATACGAGAAACCATAAAAAAAAAAAAAAAAGAGCACACGACACAGGATGAGGTGCATAAATACAAATACAGTGAAAAAAAAAAAAAAAACGAGACTTGATGACTGGCTTTTGTGTGGGTTTCTCTGCTTGAAAAAAAAAAAAAAAAAAGCAGATCCTGGTGCTTATAACTTACGGGAAGAGCATCTGGTAAAAAAAAAAAAAAAAAATGTGACTGAAAGTGGTTGGCTCAGGGGGGATAGAGAAGTTCACAAAAAAAAAAAAAAAAGAACGAAGAGCCCAGGGCAATGGGCAGATTCCCTGCGGGGAGGAAAAAAAAAAAAAAAAAATGACCTGACTTGGAAAGAGGGGAAGATGGGGCAGGTGCTAAAAAAAAAAAAAAAAAAGAGCATCTTGAGGATGGGGGATGTCAGCAACGAGAGGGGAGTGGCCAACCCAAAAGGCGCCTGTCTCAGAGGAGCCCTGTGAGGAGGGGGAAACGGCCTGGAAAAAAAAAAAAAAAAAGGAGCAGCGTGAGGAGGGGAAACAGCCTGGACCCAGCAGAGAGAAAAAAAAAAAAAAAAGAGGAGGGGGGAGCAGCGTGAGGAGGGGGGAGCAGCGTGAGGAAAAAAAAAAAAAAAAACCCGGCAGAGAGGCCTGAGGAGCAGCATGAGGAGAGGGGAGCAAAAAAAAAAAAAAAAACAGCCTGGACCTGGCAGAGAGGCCC